GACTTGGTCTTGGTACCCTCAAGTCTCGGCAGTGTCTTGGTCTTGATATCCTCCAGTCTCTGCAATGTCTTGGTCTCGGTTTAGGCGGTCTTGACTACAACACTACTGTTTTACCGCATGAAAATATTAATGGATAAATGCAGCCTAATATTCTGTTTATGATCTAACGTCTTCCAGCCTTACAGTGGCACAATGAATGAGTGATATTAGTTTAACCTGTGAGTCCTGGCTATTAAGTGGGTGGATTTCTTAGGTAAAAGGACACAAGGATGGGGAGAGATTACTTTGTGACCAGTCACACTTTACATAGGTCCATGCATAAAACTGCCTTTTTTTCTCTCCTTAACAGTCCCCCAAACTCCCTGTTATCACAGGGTCACATGACAGATTTTAACCAATCAGAATTAAAGGAACTCTATCCATCTGGTAAACCTATTTCAATAGGTTACTCCTTCAGGCTTTGCCCAGCCGGGCCCCACCAGCACCCACCGTCGAGGCCCGGTCTCCCCAATCTGGGCGGGGAAACGCACTCCTTGGTTTTCATCTTAATGAGGATCAGCCCCCCCAAGTCTGAGGCCGTGGTTCTCGACCGGAAAAGGGTGAATTGCCTTCCTTCCTCAGGGGGGGTTACTGCCTCAAGCAGAGGAGTTTAAGTATCTCGAGGTCTTGTTAATTGTTAAAAGGCCTAAATGGAACGAGATCATGTAACAACATTCCGATCTTAACCAACGTCCCCACGACATATGGGTGCTGTCTGGGTATGTATGCATTAATAATAGAATTGAAGTAATGCAGAAGTTGCTTTCCCTAGTAAGTAATTACTTTTATATGCAGTAATTGTTAAAGTAATTGAATTAACTAGTAACTGTAACTACTAACTTTCAGTTAACTTGCACGGCCCTGTTGATGACATTTCACATGCTTCTTCAGCCTCTGCTCTGTGCACATTAATACTGCAAAATGATCTTTGATTCATTCCGAAGTGGGACTCATGAGGGAAGCGTGTCATATTCCTAACAGTCATTTGGAATCTCCAGGTCACATGTGCGACCATCACTCTCTAAGTTAGCTGTACAGACGTGACCCAATTCAAAATGCCTCTGTCTTTCTCAGCATCACCAGTGACACATTTTCTTCCTTCTGCACATGTGTAATGGCTGCATCCTTTCGTGTCTCGCAGCTTTACTTGCCGCAGGTGTCTGCTGATCGCAGGCTGCCATGTCACAAAGGAGGCAGCAGGCAGCGCCAGATCCGCTCCCACCACAAAAGGAAATTCTCACTCTCGGACCCTGAAAGACGTATCCTGTAAGCCTTCGAGGCATCAATAATTCAGTCTCGCTGCTCAGCTGAGCCCTGCTTTGCCGGCTCTCGGGTAGCCAGAGCCTGGCTGCGGATGGAAACGAGAGTGAAAAAATCTGATCACCTGTATTGATTTACAACACAGGTGCTGGCGAAAGGGCTAATGGCTGGGCACAGGCGCAAAAGTGAAAAGCCCCCGAGGGCGGCCAGTTACGGCTCCACGGAGCTCCGGAGCGGCCTGTATGACATCTGACCTTCCCTTATTCCCAAGGAGGGCGGCTGCTGAAGCCGGTCGCCGTTTCATGTCCGCGAAAAGTAAGCAGCACCTTGCGTTTGCATTAGCGCTGGAGGACCAGAGTGCCGGCTGGGTAACTAAATGGAACCACCGTCATCAGCACCTCAGTATCACCTAATCCTCCTTTTTTTTACCAGTCTTATGTTGCAAGCAGCAGAAAATCTCTCAAACATTGAACAGCCTCAATGATTTATTCATGTGAACATAATACGCAGCCGTGGGTCCAGGTGCCTCCTCTACCTTCTCCAGTCCCCCGGGGCTGTTTGCTCACCGACGCTACTGTGATCTTAACTATGCCGTCTTGGTGAGTCTAAGCATCTCAGCTGTGGCCTGTGGGGCTTCTCCAGTCTCCACTGGCAAAGTACGAAATGAAAAGTCATAGGCAGTCAACAGAAACGCTTACGGTTATTTATCTGGGTAGAAAGTGTGTATTTTCTCAGAAAAAAAAAAACACAATTTAGCATTAGAAGATATGCAAATTAACAGTGATATAACCAATAAGAATTTCTTCTGTTCTTCAAAACGTTACTGATGTCTAGTTGGATGGCTAGATGAATACCGCTTCGATTCCCAAACCTCTCCTCAGGGGCACCTCAGCCATTCCATATGTTTGTTAAATTTCAACACTAACAGAATTAACTAATTTAATTAGTTAAATAGCTCAATGAGGTGTTGTTCAGCCAAACAAGGTGCAGTATTGGTGGAGTACTGGAGGGTGGCTGCAAATATTGGGGTGACTTTGGCAGAGGTTTTGAAATGGTTAAGCTGACACGCTTTGACAGACATAATATAGTTTTACACCAACTTGAAGATTATTTAAACATCATTTTTTGACTGCCTATGACATTTGCAGAATGCTGTATATTTTTGACTAAATGACCAACTGAATGTGTCTGTTGTCGGTTATCATCCAGCCTCACGTCTTCACGTCTACTTAAATCTGTTTGGACAGACAGTGACATCACTCTTTGGTCAAGACCCGCATCAACAGGACAGTGATCTGTAACCGGACGCGCGTAACCCTGCCAGTGTGCAGCTCCGGAGAAAAGCCTCTTCTGATGTAAACAATGCCGCTGCTGGTGATTAACGGTTAGTGGTGGGTTTTTTTTTTAACTGGAAACTGCTCCACATAAAGTTTCATGTTGTCAGTATTGCGCTGAAATGTGACAAGGACCATACAGAAAAGTCCGCTGAAAACAAGTTACCTAAGTAACTTAAGTTCGAAGTAAAAGAGTTTAACTGGCTTTAATTCATCATCACATGTGATTCTCGGGAATAAATCTATAATGCAACGTTAACTGCAGTGCCCAGTAAGTGTTAAATTGCATGAATATTCTGCATTACGAGCAGAAGCATTTCTTTTGACACCGATCTATGCATTTATTTTTGATAATAATTACCCACTTATCGCAGGAACCACGGGGTGCACGGATGCATCCGGACAATCTGGACTTTTACATATTTAAAATAATTAATAATCAAATACAAAGAAAGAAGACTTCAGTAACTAATTCTCAATATTTAATTAATTTTGAAAAATATTACGAATATAAGGATAAACAAATCTATATAGAGATGACAAGATAAATTAATGCCAGTGTTTTGTATTACAAAAATTATAGAACAAATCGCAACTTTCTTCATTCAGCCGATAATGTTTCCTGACTCTATAGTTACCACATTAATTTTCCGGATAGTTGAGAGAAGATGAATCTCACCGGGGTGTTTCCATTTCGGACATGACGCTTGGCCGGAGCGCACCGATTTCCACGGGGGCATCATAACCTTCCCTCTGCCTGACGCTCCCTGCTCAGATGCTGTCCGCATATCTCTGCATATCGCCAGCAATGGTCAAACTCCAAAAGCCAAGCCACCGGACATGGGTGGAGTCAAGCATCGCTCCTTTAAGTCCTTCAACCTCTCACACCGTCTGTCTGATCGCGTTTACCGTGTTTCTGCATTGTAAGAACAGCCTTCAGTCATCATGTGGTTGCTCAGTTTGCGTATCTTTTCTGTGGTAAACTTATTTCTGCTACCTTCACTGAAATTGCTTTGTCAATTTCTCAGTTTATTGCTCTTTATAAAACATTACAATTTAAATCCTATAATAGAACTGTTTATTACAACCTTGGGCAAAGTAAACTGAGTAAATATCCAAGCAAATGCATAATAGGGGCAATAATTATATTTATTATTAAAAAAAAAAGTTCCCCTAAATATTCAATTTTGCTTTAGTATTGACTTGGTGGGATGTAATTTTCATAGAGGAAGGATGCAACACTTCTGCGTCTTTTAACAATCTTTGTTTTATAAAATCCATCTCCATGTTCATGTTAGAATGCAAATCCACTCCACTGCAATTCACATTTGCTTAAAGGCACCAGACCTCTGCCTACATTTGCCATGCAGCTGCCTTACCTCTCCGAGCCAGTGGAGGGAGTGTTTTCTGGGACATTGTTTTCCTTAAAGTTTGGGAGCAAAATGCATAATGACTGCTCAGGAACACCTTATCCTCCAGATAAAAAAACATTTGCGAGGTCAGAAATTCAGCAGGCAGGGTTACGTCAAACTGCATCCCAGTTCCACGTCAGTACTGGCTTTGCCACCCTCCAGTTGCCCAAGGGGTTAGCGATTAGTGTGGCGTGCGGGCATGATCGTGCTCCTAAGGGATGCTGGGATTGTGTACTGCAGCCAAGCAACCAGATTGTTCTCTCTCTGGAGGCTGCACACTGGCGTGTGTTTTTCCCCCAAGATGCCCCCCAACGGCGGGAGGAACAGAGTTCAAGGAGAGCAGCGGCAAGCGACACCGTAGGACGGACTGGGTGGCGCAGCTTAAGAGCCGGGGGCGGTAGCTGGTCCTGACCTTTATGTGAGTTTAGTGCTGGCCGCACCTGCAAACTGCTTTTTGTCTGTGTTCTGCGGAACATTTCCAAATAGAATCCGTCGTTGAATCTCCATCAGTCACTTTCTTTTGCCCTGTCATTAACGCGCAGGCAGAAGTCCGGGCCTGCGTACCCTGCTGTGTTTCCAGAGGTCAGTCACCCCCCCAGACTTCAATCACACACTACCCCATCACCCACGCCGCTTTCTAAACATCTCAGGCCTTTGGTGACCTTCAATTCCAAAGCGCTTAGTCCAGGAAATGAGATGTGGACAGCTGGGCTGCCAGTGTGGACATGCTGCATAAAGACAGCATTGCTCTCAGCTCTATTTCAGAATCAGTCTGCTGCTCCGTCTCACGGCAGCGGCTCTTTCATTCAGCGGCTCTGTTTCCACGGTTACTGTCAACCCAGGGCCGCAGAATGCCCTCGTGCTCCCGGATGTGACCGTCCCCAGTCCCCGCGTTTGGAAACGAGCTGGACGGACGTGTAGTTAGTCTCCCAGAACTTGCATTTACATTTGGCATATGTAAATGAAATCGGATGGTGATTCATAAGACATTATGGGAGACATGCAGACCCAGTGTCAGCTCAGGACAGGAGAGACCACAAGCTGCATAGGGCCAGTAGCTGATGATGTGTGTCTGTGGCACAGCCTGGTACAGGATGCAGAATCTGCCGCTCCTCAATCACCCGGACCTCCTTAGACATTGTACTGTTCAGGCAGGGATTATTCACATTCATTTGCCTGGTGTTTGAGGTACTGGATTAAAAAGTAAACTGTGGTCTTAGAAGCATGTTTACATTGTAACCCAGGAAAAAAACATTTAACTAGATTTACTTTAAAATGCGCTCATCCGTCTGTCAGCTTCCAACTCCAGTCCAGCACATTCAGCTGCATAATAAAAGTTATGAATACTGTAAACTAAAATTCTTTATATATTTGATGAGAAAATGAAAAAGGTTATTTGGTTTGTTGTGTCTAAAACAATACGTGGTGTCAGCTTTGAGCTCACTGCAGGATCAGATCCCGAATTCCTCACACCTCCAGCGTGTCTAACACAGACAGTCTGACTCTCTCACCTTCCGTCCACTGGACTGTCATCGCTGATTTCCTCAGGTAACTTTTATCCTTCACCCAGAATGTGACGTCTCTTCGATAGGTTATACTTTCCTCCATATTCCTGCCTAACTAGATTTATTTAACTCCTCGGGTTTTTTTTTTTTTACCTGTTTTTACAGGCGCATTCCAGCCCTGTGCGACCCTGAACGCGCTCAGCAGTCAGCAGACTGATGGCAGATTGATATGATTTAGCTTTTGCTGACCCCTTGTGGAAAAGCGATGTATCAGTGATATTTTCTACACCTACTTCGGAAAAAAATGCACTTTTAGTGAAATTTACTGGAGAGCTCCAGATCGCTTTGTATTTAAGGACATTTTTCAAGTTAAGAGCTTCAAAGATGTTTCGCATCAGCAGAGTTACTTTTGGTATATGAACTTCATGGTTCTGGAAACGAAGTCTACATCTGCAAACCCCTGTGATACGTACAGGACGCATCTGTCTTCCAGCCACTGAACACTGCTGCCTCACACCCCCAGCCTTGGGGGCTCAAATCCCGCTGCGTTTGTGTCGTTGTTTTATCTTAACAGGCTGCACAATTTCCACCAGACGGGTAACGACATGCAGTTAGTTACGCTGGAGTCTCTTGATTGCCCACGGTGTACAAGTTTGTTTGAGCTACTTCAATTTAAAAATTAAGTTAATGAGGATTATCGTTATTGTTGATTCTTGGATATTTTCTTGATGTGTCATGTAGTCTTAATAACATCCGTCTATAAATTATTAATCGCGTGGGTTTAACAGGTTTTTACCAACGCCAGAGAGATCTGCAGATCAAATCAAATGATGTTATTATTAGCTTCTAGGGCTTTAAAAAAATAATAATAAAAAAAAAAAGGTACGAGTATATTTTCTGGTGCTTTTGTCAAAATGACTAAGCACCGTGAACGGCAGAGGGCAGCATACCTGACTGCATGTATTATACTGCAACTAGTCACGTCAGACTTAAATTGGCCAAACAGACGTTAACGGGTTAATTGCAATCGCAGGAAATATTAAGAAAAATCCCAGAACCACATTCAAGTCAAAATGTAATTCTGGAGAGACCCAGTCCAGGCAGTGTCAGCCCGAGGTGGATATTTCACGTCCGAAAAGTAAAAATCCAGACAGATTTTGTTTCAACCAACCAGTTGTGTATAAAGTCACAGAGTACATTTAAGGGTTTAATTAACTGAAATGCCAAAATCCATTAATTGTGCAGCATGGCTTGCTGGTACTACAGTGCAGTGTATAACAAGGGATTCCCTGCACCATTGGCCCCCAGGAGTCACCTCACACCTCCATTGCGTGTAATACGGGGGTGTCTGACTTGCACTTTCCGTCCACTGGACTGTCATCGCTGATTTCCTCAAGTAACTCGTATCCTTCACCCAGAATGTGATGTCTCTTTGATAGGTTATGTTTTCCTCCATGTTCCTGCTGGTCCAGAAGCTACAAATCCAGACCAGTATACTCAACCAACCAGTTGAGTATAAAGCGTCAAAGTCACAGAGTACTCAAACTGGTTGGTTGAAACAAAATCCTGGTCTGGATTTTGATGATGTCAATCATATGCAGACAAGAGGTGGAACAGCTGTCTAAACCTCAGCTTTAATAAGATAAAGGAGATGGGATCTCAGCCACTAATAATTCATGGTTAGATCCCACACGTGTTTCTCTGAGGACTCACTCTGAAGTGTCCATCCAGCGATGGTGATGTGCTAGGTCTGCTTTCATGCCTGCCTGTCCATGTCATTTTATGGCTGCCTGATGCCTGTAAGTGTTCCACAGTCAGGAGTGTAAGAGGTGAATGGATACCGTGACAGATTTGGGGGGGGGGGGCGGGCAGCACTTTGTAGAGGCCCCAAAATCCCCCCCCCTCCCTCAGCAAAATCAACTGAGCGATTGAAAGTGCCAATCTGAGCAGGGGGCCCAAGGTGACTGTTTCTCAGGGGGTCGGGGATGTCTAGCTAGTGCCCCGTCCACAATTACCAGACTGATTAAGTCTCAAAAGCCTGCAGAATCTATCATCGCGTCATTTGTGGTCCTCAGTTCAGCAGGGTGTGTCCTTTTTGCTGACATGACGTTGTCCATCTCACCTCACTAAGTCCACCTCATTTAGAACATTGATCCTCATGGGTCCCTGTATTATTTTCAGTTTTTTTTTTTTGCAATGTTGGGCTTAAGTCATTTTTAACAGTGCATGAAGGCATTGTGCTGCTCTCACTGCACTACGTTCTAGTAACTCTCACTGCACTATTTTGTGAAATCAACTGGCACAAGATTTTTAAATTTGGGTCGTGACTTAATGGCCAAGGAAAAATGTGGATCCTGAGCAGGAATATTTTAATGAATGGGTTCACCCAGGCCAAGACCCAGGGGCCTCTGCCAGCTGGAACAGCCCAGGAACCTCAGTCCTTATTAACATGCCTCTGGTCTGGGGGCTCAACCAGTAAAGAATCATTGTCAAGATGTCAAGAGTCAATTGGGGATTTATTGTCATGCCAAACATATTCAGTACACTGCATACAAAGACAGTGAGCATTTATTGCCACATCAACCTTAACACTGCATACAGTGACAGGAAGTAACATCTCCCATACAGCAGTGTCACATATACACACAAAGGTCAGAGATAACAGATAGTCCAGCAGATTCCGGGGACCCATCACTCTCTAAGTGCCCCAGAATATACCGTCGAGGGCCCCCCTCTTTGCAAAAATCTACCGAGCTCCCCCCACCCCTCCACTCTGCAAAAGCCAACCAAAATGGCCCAAACTAACATTTTGTTGGGGGCCCAGAATTCCCAGCTACGGCCCTGAGGGTACCCATACATTGATTGTTAATTTCAACTAGCACACCTGTCCAAACATGCTTAATGGAGCAAATTAACTTATCTGGGGGCCATAGCTGTCAGCATAGTGTCCCCCCATTTACCGAACTGTTCCGTTTTTCCGGAGGCAGGGCGGGGCCCTGATATTCCCCGGGGGTGGTGGCCATGGCCTACCATAACCTATGCATGAATCCGCCCCTGACACTGAACAGGTACAGCAGAGAATCGGGTTCTTAAACTTTTCCTAATCAGGGACAGCAAACGGAAATTCACATCCTACCACTAAGGTGTCAGTCTATAAAAAACTAAGAATGAACCTAAGTTAAAGTATTTAAAGTATTTTGCTAAATTATGTTTCTGACTTCTGGACTGCATGGTTCCGATAAGACATTGGAAAAAATATTATGTTGAGAAAGACATTTTATAACTTTTTCTTTAAGACAAAAAAAAATTTAAATAGTGGAGGAGAGTAATGTGTAATAATGAGGCTAACATGACGAAATCGCTAAACACGGGGGCTGAGACAAAAAATAAGGTAAATCGGGTCTAAAGTCGCCTATGGTTGCTAATAACACACTTTGGGTCCCGGGATGAAGGTGCGTTTGAGCAGATCGGCACAAAAAGGTTGTTGCGCAATAGTATAAATCTGAGTGCGGGGAAAAGACTCCGGGCGAAAAGGAGGATCAAATGAGAAATGACTAGTGAACAAACATCCCGTCAACTGACAGGTTTATTATGCATACATTTTAAATTGTGTAAAGACATGAAAGAGAGAGATCTCATATTTCATGACCTGAAATTTTAAGTGGCCAACATGAAACTGTATATGGTGAAGATTATATTATTTTTTGATTTTGCTATAAGCCTGTTACCAACATCATACTAATGACTAAATGCAAAATAGCATAAACCATTCATAGGCCTGCAGTGCATTTATTTTCACAATATTAAAAATGGGAGATTAATGAGGAACTTGGTGGAACAGCCTTACAGCGATCCGGAAGACAAGAAGCAGTCTGAAGATGGATGGATAGATGGATGGATGGATGCAATCCAGCATGTATTTATTTGAGTGGTGTTGTACTGTGTACCATCTCGATTTCACTCAGTTTTATACAGAAATCCTCTTATAATCTTTGCCAATTGAAATTTGTCATTAAAACTTGGTTTCCCACACTCGTGGCCTCTCATTTTACCGACAGTGAATTTCCTGTGACATAATCACCGTACAAGAACACGTTTAACTGCGTTACTAAATTTAAAAGGAACTGAGTAGGCAAAGCAATCCTGAGAATATCTCCGAGGAGGGAAGCAGCATCGAAGTGACACAGCGGAGTACTGCCGTGGCTTACTGGTCTGTCCGCACAAACCCAAGCATTTCGGAAGGTAACGGCGACCGCACGTGGCTTTTATGTAAATGATTTTCGTAATGGAATAGGATGCGGTGGACACCCGCACCGGCAGCCTCGTGCTGCTGCGGGATACTCTCCATAGGGGCACGCGCCTGCTCGGTCTTTCTTGTTATGACTTTTGATGATGGCCGCTTATGCTGCTTGTTGAGGTATGCTGAAGTGGTCTAAATAGGTTTCATACAAGTTTTTATGAATTATTTGTTACAATTCAAATACGGTTATTATATTTTTACTGTGTATTGCCAAAATATATCACTTTTCCACCGTGAGGGAGCCGCTCCTGTCGTCCCACTGGCTTTCATTCGTCCTTTAGTCCTTCTCACAAAAATGCTACAAGACTCCAGCAGAAACGATATTCTAGCTTCATCACGTGTCACGGTGCCCTAACCTTGCTAAAATGAAAGAGTTACTTTGCGTACGGGCGAATTGGTTCTTGTTACTTATCAGTGTAGTCCAGTTTTTCGCCGTCAGCTCATCCACGGGCGCAATTTCTCTGCAAAATGTTTGCCAGCTGGATGTGTAGATCTTGGACGTGTCGAGACTGGCTCTTTTAACGAAGTTAAGAAAAGAATCCCAAACTGCTTTTTCTTTCTGAGACAATACAACCATTTTTGTGGTTCATATGAGTCCATTAGCGTGTTGGTATAGGTATTTGGGCAGGACGTCACAAGAGGCAATTACTATATTAGTACATTGGTCAGGAGACTGCGCCGTCCATTATCCATGCGTGACAGTATCTTATTAGGTTAAATAGTACTCTGGATGATGATGTGGTAATGTGAGCCATTGGTAGATGCGTTTTGCATGTTATGAGTACAGCCAGTCGCAAATGTCTTGCATAGTGCTTTCTCGATTGTTTTAAAAGAGGAAATGTAACAGTTTTGATTTCCCAAAGGTAGACAGCTACACATCCTCCTGTTTCTGTAATTTATTCTACTTGTCAGCGTCTGCATGGCTCGGCCGTCCTCTCTCTGCTTTCTGCGTACTTGAACGGCAGCCTGCATACTCAGCTGACCGCGTCATGCAAGTCACGGGAGATGAGAAAGACATTGTGTTTCCAGCGCAGATCTTTCCACGTCCGCTGAACTGAGGTCCGCAACTAAATATATACTGCTGAAGTAATAACAGCAGCGCTGCGCCGCACGTGCTTCTCTGGAAACGTTATTAAATTAAATGCGCGTTTCTAGTAACTTACAACTGGAGCAAGCACAGCTGAAACAAATTAAAAGTCACAAACACAAAACATTCCACTGACAACCAATGAAACTGGAGACCATGCGTGAGAACAAACAAACCAAATCCAACCAGCTAACTGGTCTGAACTACTCAGTGGTAACTTTATAACTTGCTTAATGTAAACTTGGGTATTTGATATTCATAATTAAAGTCTAAATAATTGCTGATATAATAGTTATGCTACACGAGGGAACAACGAGTGACAATCGGGCAGGGCAGTGACTGCTTGTGAATGTGTGACAATTTTTTTTTTTCTTCATTGACCATTTATGAGGCCATGTGCTGAGAGTCTGTGCAGCGCTGTGTATCACACACACGTTGTGCTTTTCTGGATGGTTTGATCTGCAGGCAGGCATCTGGCTTTTGATGTGGGTGGGGCTAACCTCTGTCCCATTTCCTCCCAAGAAAATTCTGCCTTTGGGGGAGCCTTACTCAAAGCGCAGACTCTCAGCCCGTCTGTTTCATCCAGTCACCTAATTTATTGTCTTCCCTTCCGTCTATTTGACATGGAAGCTGTTTTTCATACTGTCTGGTCTTTGTGTGAAGGGCCTCACTGTCGGTGTGATTTCAAAGCAGTGGGCAGATGCTGGGACTGCCATATTCACAATCTTTAAGGCAAAATTCAGATGCAAGAGAGTCACATGATGTTAGTGTCCCAACACTATTTTCAAAATATAAGTAACAAACCTTTTAAAGACTCAGTGTTCTATCCACTGGACCCTGACTCTGTGTTCTATCCACTCATTTGTTTATTGTTTCCAAGGAATTTGTAAGAGCAACAGTTGCCACTTCAACTGTCTATATATATATGTAATTCAATGCTGGTGTGAGGTGAGGCTGCGATTTCATAAATCATCTTAACTCACCAACTTAACTATCTATGAAAATATCAGTAAAATTTTTAGCTTTCACTATGTACTTAAAATAGACAAATGTTCTTTGGTTACATGTGACTTTATGATATGTCAGTTTTGATTTAATTTTTTTTCTTTCATTTCTGCATTTAGTTAGACATGCCAAGTTTAAATGTATTGCTGTGCTTGTCCATTATAATGCAGTAATTCATATCCATTGTAATACTTAGCTATTTTCATTATTTTATACTGTATGAGCACCTCAGTGAGCTCATTTGCATGTGTTCTATAGTTGCTGCATACCTGTTCAGTCATACACGTTATTTTAGACATGCTGTGTTTTGCTGGGCCCGGGGGGGGTCAAAAGGGATGAATACACAGTTTGTGTGTAGATGAGGCAGAGATGGGGGGGCAGGTGATTGTTGTCTGTGATTGGCTGAGCTTTGGAGGACGGGCAAGTCTCCAACACACTGTCATCCTAGCTTGCGTGTGTTAGGGTCGGTGCCCGCCCATCCCTGTCCTGTGTGTTTGCCCCCATTTGGCCAGCAGGCATCGCTGCCCATCCTGTTCCTTCTGTCTTGTAGCCCTAGTCCCTAATGTGTTTCCCTGTGCCCTGGGCTATCATGTAGCTTGATGGGTTAAGTGAGCGGCTTGGAAACTAACATCCCTCCATTTGTGGGTTCAAGGCTGGTCTTTTAACCTTTAACCTTTTGCTTATTTTTTGGTTTTATGTTTATCCTTAGCTTTTGGCTTTTCCTTGAATCTGTTATGGTTTCTGTCCCTGTTTTGGTTTACTCTGCTTATACCTTGTTTTATTTTGCGCTGCTTGTACTTATGTTCCTAGTTTTTTCCTAGTATTAGGCTCTGTGTTTAGTAAAGTTTCCATAGTTAACTGTAATGTATTCCCCCTGTTTCTTGCTGATTGGTTAATTGAGTTATGGTTTTCACCTGAGCGAAGCCCCAGCCTTAGCAGAATAGTATGCTTCTGAGTGATGTATTTAAGTGCCCGCTTTTGTTCTGTTCCTTGTTGGTTCATTGTGGCCTTTTACCTGTGTGACTGTTTACCTGTGTAGCATTGTTGTCGTCTTCGTCATCGTCGTTGTTGTTGTTGTGTTTTTGATTGTTTTCCCCTGTATAGTTTATTCCGCTTTGCTTCCTGCCTTTATTCCTGTTTTCTCAGTTTTGTTTTGACCGCTCGCCGCCCCTCGTTTTGTTTCCCCCTTTCTGTTTGTTTCTGTTAAATAAACCACTTTTCGTGGAGCCGCTTTGTGACCCATCCTTCCTTCCCTATGCCCCACTGTGATTCTAACTGGGGGTATCTGCTTAGAACCTTCCAATCATTCTCCTGTGAAGCACAACCTCCGGTCTCTGTGAATCCTGACCAAGAGCTATCATGACTTACCTTTATCTGTGACGTCTTCAGAACCTGCTGTCTAGACCCCTTATCTTCACAAATGGGCCAAGCTGTTGCTTCCACAATGATCCCACCCATTGCTGCCAGTTATTAAATATCACTGCTACTTTTTTCAGTCATAATTTAAATTCTTTTAATTCGCTCATTCTACTCACTATTATTTATTTTTATATTATTTACGGCATAACTCAGGGCAGCGTGTGGCTCAGGTGTTTTGGCCTCTGTGTCTGCGATCAGAAGGTTGCTAGTTCAGCCCCAGTCTTAGCAGAATAGTCACATGTCCCCGGACCCTTGAGCAATGGCCTTAACCCCCAGCTCCCTAGGCAACACAAGGTGGCTGCCCCCTCAGTGTGACCCCCAAACTTAGTCACGCCTGTATGGAGTGCAATTAATCCCCACAGGGATTAATAAAGTATCACTGTTCTATTATTAATTTCACGTATATATATTCAGACCCACTGCGCTTTTTGATAATTATCTCATGATGCAGTGAAGCAGGTGGCAGTGCTTCACCTACGTGTAACGGGCGTGTAACCCGGGCCGCCTTCCCAGGTAGCGGGCGGTGACTCCATGTTGAGGCTTGCGTGTGTCTGACATGGGAGCCGCGAGGAGTGAGGCGGGAACGTTTTATTGCTGCAATTGTTTATTATCTTACGGATAATTAGCAGATCCTGCTCGTAACGCTACACTCAGCGCACCCGTGTGGGGTGGGGGGGTGCATCCTCATTCACCTTGTGTGAGTCTGGCATGGAGGTCAGTAATGAGTGAGCCAACAGCTGCAAATAAACCCCAGACCCAAACTGACCAGGAGCAGGAGGTGGGGGAGGGTCACCACAAAAGCAGGGCAGCAGCGTGACGCATGCAATCTAATCTCCATGGAAACAGCTGCCACATGCACAGAGCCCCCTCACCCCAACCTATCCCTCACCCTCTCTCTTTTCTTGTCTTTCTACTTAAACTAACAGTCCATGCTGGTCTCCCTCTCTTTTTTTCACTATGTCCCTTCTTCTCCTCCCCCCTCTCCTCCTTCTCCTCCCCCTCTGCCCTCCTCTCCCTGTCTGCAGGCCAGTGACATCACAAACAGCCGGTATAAAATCCTCCAGTAGGATCAGAGGATCATTGTGCTGCCTGCTCGCGCTCTCAGCCTCACTCTTACTCTCCCTTCTCTCTTTCTCTCTCTCTCACTCTCTCTCATTCCACTGCTCTCCCTCTGCGCCCTGCAGGCATCATGGAGGCTTTCGTCGGCACATGGAACCTGAAGGAGAGCAAGAATTTTGACGACTATATGAAGGCACTGGGTGAGTGTCCCGCACTGCGGGAGTGATGAGTGGAGACGGAGGCTGGCGCTGAGTGAATGGGATGCGTCACATGGAGGATGAGGGCCGTAGTGCGTGTGCACGTGCGTGTCTGTGCTCAAGAGCGAATATGGGCTCCTGCATGCACCTGCACCAAGGCCTGAGAAAAAGATAAACTGTTTCATGTGGCCATGTGTATAAAGGGAGTTGGCTGCGCGTGCATGTGCGTGCGCGTGAATTCGCTTTGCACACGTGTATGTCTGCGTGAGAAACGATGTGGAACTAAGCAGTCGGGTGGGTTTTGGTGGGGGGGGGGGGTCGACTCCGCAGCCGGAGGGGAGGGCCGGGCAGGGATCGGGGGGGTGTCTGCTGGGGTGTGGAGGGAGGCAGGTGGGCCCCACAGTTGTATGGGCTGGGGCATCCCAGAAGCAGATGTCCCTCCGTCTACCCCTCCCTGCATTAGCATGAGAGGCGAGTCCCCTGGTGCAGTGGAGGGCGATTCCCACCAGCAGATATCCTCAGTCAGGGCTGATGAGCAAAGCCGCATGGAAGGGCTGCTTTCTGTTGCGTGGTGAATGCGAGCGCAATCATGGTGGGCCCTACAGGTAAATCCGCCCTTTTCCCATATCGGCCACTCTGCTGGGAACAGCGCTGTTGATTTAAGCCTTTTTGTAATGACAAAGAGACTAAGAGATTACGGCGGTCCCTGGAGGCGCTGCGGCGCGGCCGCGACTCGCCTCCCGCAGTCTCACACGCCCTGCGCTCCCCGCCCACGCACACACAAACGCCGCCATCCCGCTGACGAGCCGCCCGGCCCCAGCCTTGGGCCCTCAGTGAATATCTTCGGCGATAAGAGGAACTTCCCGCGGCAGAGCTAATAGAAATGCCGTTATTTTATCATGACGTTCCCTTCAGCTTCGCAGTTTCACTTATGTGTGGAGGTCTGGAAGCATGAGGCAGTGGAATGTGAGTGTGTATTAGAGGGGTGTGTCTATTAACATCCTAGTGTCCTCTTTGACCTCTGCAGGCCCCTCCCACCAGCCCTCGACTCCACCCCTCTCTGGTGTGACTCTCTGGGATACTCCCCATCCCCCCGCCCTTCCCCTGCTGTTCTGATACCCAGAGTAGCTGACACACCCCATTCTGGGCCACAATGACCCATGCATGCGCTGCAATACAATGGCTGACACAGCGCAAGCGGCTGGTTGAAGGCCGCCATAGCATCCGTGCCAGCAGCCACACGCTGACGCCGTGACCACAGCCGCTGACGGGTCATGCTGTGCTCTACCTTGTTTACCAAACGATAATAAATCGATGGCAGAATGCAGGCCCGCTCACCTGCTGCCGCACCTGGGCCTGGCAGTCGACTCGCTGGTGGGTCACGTGACCTTGCCTCAGCCAGGGGGCATGAGAATGTGTCCACTAGTCGGGCGGTGAAGAGAACTGGAGGCGCATGGCAAAGAAAGAGGACGTAATAAGAAGCAGGGAAGTACAATTCACTGTAAAGCTGCTCCAGGAAGGGAAAGGGTGGGGCGAATGAGGGGGGGCAGTTATAATGAATGGACCTTTATTTAGCATTAATACAAATACGGTAAAAGATACATTATGATTACTTGACTGCTAGTAGGTCAACCTAGTAATTGCTTAGCTCTCGGAATGGTCTGGGTTTAGGTGTTACTACAATGTTGGCCTTTTCATAGGAAGTGTCACTGGCGACCCCTGCAGGTGAGGGACAAAGTCTCAGTTTACTACCTGCGCAAACCAGCGGGCTAATGCTAATGCTAATGCTCTGTGACAGGTGTGGGCTTCGCCACGCGGCAGGTGGGCAGCATGACCAAACCCACCACCATCATTTCCATGGACGGCGACACCGTCACCCTGAGGACCCAGAGCACCTTCAAGAACACCGAGATCAGCTTCAAACTGGGCGAGGAGTTTGATGAGACCACCGCAGATGACAGGAAAGTGAAGGTGCCTCACTGCCGCCATGCACGGATCCAGCGGCCTATGGGGTCGCAACACACAAACATGTGCTTCCACACACAGTGAAGGTTCGGTCGCTCCCATAATCACAGTATCTATGATGACAGTAACTTAGACAGGCACACGTGCACATTGAAAGTGCTGATATGCAATACCCAGGATTCTCTATTAATGCATAAACCCACATTAACTCTCTATACCTACACACTGATTTCCCTGTAGATCAGGCATATACCTACACAGTGACTTCCCTGTAGATCAGGCATATACCTACACACTGACTTTCCTGTAGATCAGGCATATACCTACACACTGACTTTCCTGTAGATCAGGCATATACCTACACACTGACTTTCCTGTAGATCAGGCATATACCTAAACACTGACTTCCCTGTAGATCAGGCGTATACCTACACAGTGACTTTCCTGTAGATCAGGTTTATGTCTGAACTCTTCCTCCATGTGTCCCCCAGTCTGTGGTGACGCTGGATGGAGATAAGATGGTGCACATTCAGAAGTGGGATGGGAAGGAGACGACCCTGGTGAGGGAGGTCAGCGATAACAGCCTGACTCTGGTCAGTACCCGTCTGTGTGTGTGTGTGTGTGTGGGAGGGGGGCTATGTGCTCTTTGCTTGTCAGCTGACCATCCGCTGTGCTCCGCAGACGCTGACGCTGGGTGACGTGGTGTCCACTCGCTCGTACGTAAAGGGCGAATAGAGGACCGACTTCCTGTCTCTACCCCCACTCGCCCCTGCTCCCAGCCCTTCACTGCAGGATCCAGCGTGGTGCTATGCTATGGGTATCCTATTCCCTCCCCCCCCCCCCCCCCCCCATCTTTGTACTGCCTCCTCTGTCTTAGACAATAAAAAAATCCAAGTTTTGTTTTTTCACTGGGCTGCACAATCCATGTCGTCATTTTCAACTCAAGGGAAAGCAAACAAAAAAACATGTCCTAAACCCTCCTGTGCTGGATGTGAGCGTAGAGCAGCATCTGTGTGTGACCCACGCTGTCACACAAACACGCCAGGTCTATTTCAGCCCAGGAATGTGCCACAGGTCATCAGTGTCAGGGAGTGTGATGTAATTTCAAGCAAACAGGGACAGAAATAAACACATTAGGAGGATGGAAAGCAGGACAATACTGCAGCGTATCTGACCTCTCAGGCAGCAGGACAGCTGCAGGACAGCAGGGGGCATAGTGGGCGAGGAGCTCAAATTTTGAGCAAAATCACTTGGGTTCAAGTTTCAGCAGAAACCATGCCTGTATCTCATAAGCAAATATTTGTCAGACACTGCCTAGATGCGCATTTTTTTTTTTAATTACTCCCAAATACACTGCTAAAAGTGTCTGCTAAGCAAGTAAATATTACAAGACAGTGTAACTTGAGCTAAGCACCTGTGTTTGTGGTGTAATCAGAGCACTGGTGCATCATGTCCTGCGGTATCCACTGAACCCGGTGGGTGTGTGTCAGTGTGTGTGTGTCATTGGGCCAGGTCTGCCGACAGCTGTAATGTGAGCATGTTCCAGAGTCATGTGACGGGGAAAAAGTGGGTGAAAGGCTTGGTGGGTGGGGCTTGTGTTGGTCTGGTGACACGCTTCCTGTCACCCACTGCCCTGGAGAACAGCAGGTATGAAAGAATCAACTCATCTCTTTGTCAGATGGCGTTTTATTTACACAACACAGAATTCTCCTGCTCTGTGTTAAGTGAGAAGAAAACAGCGATTTAAACACATTAAAAATACAAAAATAAAAAGAGAATACAGTGATATGCAGCTCAGGAAAAGGACCCAGAGGTCCGGTTACACTGGAGTGGTTCTGCTGGTCCAGAGCCGTCTGAGAACATGGGGGCCACTGCACTCCCCCGGGCTGCCGCAGGCCGTCTGCTTCGCCAGGGACGCCTTTCTCACTCCTGCTTGCTGTGAGATCTGTGTTTTCCTTTCTTGTGCTTCTTTTTCTTCTTCTTCTTCTTTTTCTCCTTCTTGTCCTTCTTTCTGCCCTCTCCGCTGCCTGTCTCGCTGGCGGAGCGCCCCCGCTTGGCCGGCCTGCGGCAGTCCTCGCTGTCGCTGGAGTCCGTGGAGGTCTCTCTCTTCTCCTTCCTCTTCTTCACCTTCTTCTCCTGGTGTGAGGGAAAGGAGCATCCATGTGAGAATCAGGGTCACATGTGGTAAACAGATCAGGCCAGAGATTTACAGGCAAGACAGAATAGCATATGGCACGAGTCTCAGATCTACAGACAGCCATTCTGCTCTCTGGTCAAGGGAGGAATGCTTTAAATATTTATGCTTTTAAAACATCGCCATCCATCCTCAGAGCGAGAAAAGCATTACTACTTCTGCTAACCCCAGCTGAGGCTGCTCCGGCCCGCCGTTTCAGGCCATTGCATCAGACCTGTACTAAAAGCAGTCAGTTGTCAAGATCACCTTGTGACTGTTTCTGCAACGGCTCAGCGGCTGCCACCACCGCAGGCGGCCGCATTCCCCACAAACGGCCACAAAGGCAAATCATCACACAAGGAACCCAGAAATTCCTGCTGCATTTTTAAAGATTCTTCCAAAAATACACATAGAGCAACATAAAAAAAAACAAGTCTGAAATCTCCATCCTTCCTTGCAAAGTCTGCCTGTCTGCTTTAGTCACAGCTTGTTTCACTTCCCTTGGAGAGACTGAATCCATTTCTAGATGCCTGTCCTGCGCGAGAAGCCTGAAGTGCTTATTCCTGCAGCCGATTATTCACTGTGACTCTCAGGACCTGAACTTTACTAAGATCCTCTGTAACATCAGGGTTAATGCAAAGAGTCAGCAGAGTGACCACGACTGTTAACCTGCCGTCTATTTTTATAAAGCTGTTGACTGAATCATGAAAAAGGCTTTTTAACATACAGTACTGACTTGGGCATAGAAAATGTTTAATAAATGCTATTCATCTTCACAGTAAGTGCATATTACTCAGAAAAAAAAACAATTTACCACAAAAAAGAACAGTACCAAAATAAAAAAGTAACAAGTTTGTTTCTCCAAAAACAGATGTATCTTGATAACACTCCAGATGCCAAACCTCTCCTCTGGGGCACTCCTGCCATTCCATGTATTCGTTAAATTTCACCAGCAGGTCTGTTAACTAACTTAAATAATTAAATACCTTGATGAGATATTGATTAGCCAAGCATGGTACTCTAGAGGTTGAATCAACAAATACATTGGTATATTAAACGGATTCTGCAAATCCTGTGGTCACTTCCGGGGAGATTTTGAAACTGCTAAGCTAACAGACTTCGACTGGCATAAAATCAGTTTTACACCAACATAAAGACAATTTACATATAATTTTCTCTGGCAGGTAAGAGTTCTGCACAGAATTGTACATTAACAATGAATTCTACGATTGTACTGAAGAATAAAACCAATGGCTTGACTTAATTGGATATTTTTAAGCAAATGGTGATATTCATAACATTTCGCCATAGACAGTAAGTCTTGCAGCAATTTGAAGGAAGAGCCGGTAACTTATTAGATAACCTACTGCAATAGTAAAACATAACTAGTTAGTAGACTGACTCAAGAAAAACTAATATTTGTGTAGAGAGTTTCTCCCCTAAAAGACTGAGAATGCCATTTGTTTGCAAACACAGTCACATTGAATTGTCCTATAAAATAACTGGATGTAAATGCCATGGTCTTGTCTCATTTCAGCTTAATGTTCCATCAGTCAAGCATCCCGACAGGCATGTATTCCTAGGAAACCCAGGTCCCTGCCCCTTCTCAGGCAGGCCAGACCACGATTGGATGTATTAGATGTCAGTCAGGTACCTTTTTACTCTGGGGGTGTGTCTGGGCAGACTGACTGGGCTCCTCCTCTTCCTCAGGCACCAGGCTATACTGCAGGCCAGGCTTGGAGTAGCAGTCCTTAGTAAAGTGTCCTGGAAAGCTGGCAGGCATTACTCACTGCACAAGCAGATGTCTCCTTAGTCCCATTCAACCACACACATGCTTGTCTGCCAATCACAGCCTTAGGCTCGCTCTCGTACACACATAGGCTATTCTCCCTGACTTACCCTTACAACCACACTTCTTGCATGTGGTGTTGAGGACAGCCTCCAGCGTTATCCTCTGACTGGAGTGGTCTCTGAACTGCCGTCGTTTTCTCTCATCCTGCCTGTGTAAGAGACGCTGCGATGTTTTCCGGCAAACTTATCTTAACCCAACCACCACCCCCCACTCCATCCACAAACACATCAGAAGACATTAAGAATCACATACTCTAACACCACATTGTTGGGGTCCAGGTCCTTTCCAGTGCCTTGATTTACAACTTTCATGGAAAATGAAAGTTTCACTTTTCCCTCCTGTATCTGAAACACACGATGTAACCTTATCTATAGCAGTACTTTGCATTTGTATATGGATTACACTTAATGGACCAATAATTTGGATGAATTTATTTCACAGATTTATTGACTAAACATTGAGTACTTTTGAGTAAACTTATTATATATTCTAACTTAATGTTTTGCAATTAAAATGGTTTAGATGTATAAAAATGCTGCATAATTAAAGAAATAAAACAAAGAGTCACCTCACGCCCAATGACCTTCACCCAGACTCTCTCTCCTACATCCAAAATCTCGGAGGGGTTCTCCACACGGGAGGACGACATTTCACTCTTATGGACCAGCCCTGACACAGGAGTGAGCATTACAGCATGACATCACAAAGAGGAGAGTCTACTCTTCATTTCAGGCAGTCTCTTACAGCTGGATTATTAATTCTTTTTGTCCCAATGGACCATATTTCAAAAGAAATTCTAACTGAACGCCTGGGTCTCATTGGTGAGCAGCCCTTACTGGTCGTAATGGGCAAAAGTGCCAAATGTTACCTTGTTTTCTGCAGCCGGGAATTTTCACAAAAGCTCCATAGGCTGTGACAGATGCCACCTGAACGAAAAACGTTCCAAGGTAAACATCGGGATGTTTATTTCATTTATAATTTTCACGCAACAAATGCTTCTTACCCATGGGACTATGCAAAGACGAATGGGTAAATAAGCCTGTAGCTGAAATCCTGAGTCAATAAACTGAACCATATTAAAACTTTAAATCAAGACAGATAATATTCCTTTAAATAAAAATGTAAATAAAACATTTCAAATGATGTATATCAAAACATAATTAGATTTAATTATCATTCGTTCACCCTGACTTCTCTTCTTTGGCATTACAGTTTGGGTTACGTATTAGAAAGTCCTGTTCTACAGTACTGCACGTAAGACTGAACTCCCGTACCTCTCCGCGCAGTATGGTGTGCAGTTCAGGCAGCTCGTCGAGGTCCACCCGTTCTCTGCCGCGAAACCCATCCATCGATCTGCAGAGTTGAATAATATTATATGGTCATCTTTGCACATTTGTCCAATGCACATTATTCGAGAACGACTGGGGATCGTTTAACAACATAAGGAATAAAGCAGCCACTAAACGGTAACTACCTTTTAAGTGATTAAGGCTTGCGGCTTGAGTTACTAGTTCAGATACGGATAGGTGATGTCACTTCACTGGCGTTCAATACACTGCCTGACGATTGACTATATTATTAACTTTGCATTCGCAAACTCACTATCTAGCTACCTAGCCAGCAATGGAAAATCTATGACTAGCAAAACAGTCAGCAATGTCGTATGCATGCTGCCTTGGTGCTATATATTTGTTTCGTGAAAAACTAACCCACTCGTGAACCTGTACTATTTCAAAGAACAGAAATCTTCAGTCAAACTCCATCCACCGCAATCTTTAGACGCTCCTTGACTTGATTATGTACTTCCGGGGCAAATACGTTCACGACGCCCTGCACCAGCCAATGAAATTTGACTTCGGAGGAGTGCACCAATCATATTTGATCTTATTACGTGCGAATTGGGATGCCGGAAACTGATGTTCCCATTTGCTCGTGCAGTTTAAACCAGTGGAGAGTACATCACGTTTCATTTAGTTTCATCTAAAGGGACCGCAAAAATCAGCGTAATTAATAGACATAGAGGTTAGGTTTTCGAGAATTATGATTGAGCCGAAAAAGAGGGGTGCGGCGGAGATGGCTGTGGTACCTGCGGGCATCAAAAAACCAAGGACGGAACTTGTGGCGGCGGCGCAGTCGCAGCAGCTAGCGACGATGGTAGGAATTGGTAGCGCCTTTCACATTGTCGCGGGGGTATTTGTTAAGTTTAAAAGCTTAACTTGCCTCTCCTTTTGAACTAGTTAAATTTGTGGAAAGTGTTTTGCAGTCATGCGCTTCAAAAAATAGAAGGCGCTAAGATGTGTAATCACTTCACGTCACACTAAATAAAGTTTGCGGCAGAATGCTTAGGCGAACCAAAACAATGAATGAATCAACGATTGATTTAAATGATTTCGTTTTTAACATTCAGTGAAAAGTATAATTATTAACGACTCAACAATGGAATTTTGTTATGTGTGGTGAGAAAAATAAGTCTTTAAACATTAATAAATGAGTATTTTTTATTTCAAAGCCTAATCTAACCTGTCAAATTTGGGTATTAGTCATAATTGACAGATTCAAAGTGATTATAATAGATTGACAACGTAGTTAAGTGCCAGGTTAAGTTGCTGGAAATATATGGGTGAATATTTGGCAAAATGTAGTTGTTACAATATTTTATAATCATAGTCTAGCTATTATGTGTCATAGATTACAGAAACTGGATTTATTGAAGTTTTAAAAATAAATGTTTAGATTTAGATTGTCCAGTTGTTGAAATTATCAAAAATGTGTGTGTTTTGATTTTTTTCCCCTCCTCCTTCTGTCTGTGTTTTGGTAAGTGAACTTACCCTAACCCATCAGTACATTGAGTGTTTTGCACTGGTTATGAAGAAAATGATGGTAATGCACTTAACACACTAGCTAGACTCAAGTAGGACAGAAAATGTTAATTTTTGCTGCACTGTGTAAATATGTCACCCGTATGAGTCTCGTCCTTCTGTTATCCTTCTTGTGGCTATTTTAAACCTTGACCTAAATGCAGGTCAGTTCCAGTCAAGCTTCTCGCCCATTCTCTCTCCCACTCTCCTTCCCTCCTTGTTCTGCGTGAGTCTGTCACATATGTCATCCTCTCATTGTAGTGTCGGCTGCTGACACTCTCCCTCCTCCCCCAGGGTCCCCCTCGGAGCTCCAGTCTCCAGGCTCCCATCATGCTCTTGTCAGGCCATGAAGGAGAAGTGTACTGCTGCAAGTTCCACCCCAACGGATCAGCGCTGGCGTCCGCTGGTTATGACAGACTCATCTGTGAGTCGCCTTGTCTTAATGCCTCTGGATCCGATATTTACATGTAATCACAGTATCAGAGCTGAGGCATCAGTGCAGTAGGTCTCCCTTGAATTTAAACAAAAATTCATTGTGTGATACAGACAGAAGGCTTGATAATTTTTCTGTAAATATTGACTGTTCACATTGATGAATGTAAGTATATGGGCTCTTTACAGCTGCAGATATGTGGCTGCTTGCATGGCTGTAGTGTCACAGCTGCTGTGATGACTAGGTCTTGGTTGGCTGCCGGCTGCTTTAATGGTTCTCGTTGATGTCTTTGTCCTCAGTGTTGTGGAGCGTCTATGGTGACTGTGACAACTACGCCACCCTGAAGGGCCACAGCGGGGCCGTCATGGAGCTTCACTATAACACAGACGGCAGGTATGCTATGGCTGGTGGGTGGGGTTAAAGGTCATTAATGTTCATAAGCAAAGACGGGGGCATGACTGTGACCCATTTAGGGCTCCAGTCTACTGCCCCCTTCAGGCTAAAACTTAGAAATATGTGCTAGATGACAGAGTTCAGAGCACAGACATTAATCCTTGTCTTAGTTTTTAGTCTCCCAGTTTGGTGCCTGTGTCCTTCATACTCCCCATCCATTCATAATTAGTAACATTTTAAAGATTCTCAGATATGTCCTTCCCCTTGGCTATCTCATTAAAATAGTTCTTGCTCCTGATTGGAAGCTGTGTGAGTGCTTACTTGCACAGCTGACCTCAGCTTGACAGGGTACTTTGATCCGTCTGGATTTCTGATTGGATGTCTTCTGATTGGATGTCTTCTGATTGGATGTCTTCTGATTGGATGTCTTCTGATTGGATGTCTTCTGCAGCCTGCTCTTCTCTGCCTCCACTGATAAGACAGTGGGGGTGTGGGACAGTGAGACGGGAGAGCGAATCAAGCGCCTGAAGGGTCATACTTCCTTTGTGAACTCGTGCTATCCTGCCCGCCGTGGCCCACAGGTGGTCTGCACAGGTAGTGACGATGGGACTGTGAAGGTGAGGTCAGCGCTGGGTTTGGGGGGCTGGGAATAAAAACATTACCCCACTGCTTTTCATTTTACATGACCTGCTTTCTGATTTGAAATATGAGATCTTAGCAGAAGATTGCTGACTAGTCAACTGCTTGGAAGAAAAAATTTAAAATCTGACACATGCATTAAAAAAAACATGCATGACGATTCGAGTCAGTGATTACAGCAGTATATTTTTTTAATGACTCACAGCAGTTCTTGCGAAATGTCAAAATAATTTCACTTGTCACTTCTCTGTTTTACAGTGATAGGCTATGTAATTGTATCCATTTAATATTCAGCTAAATATTCAAGAAACTACATCTCACACTTTGCAGCACTCTTTGATTAGCTGACTGTAAGAGGGCTCTTAGGATATATAGGGCCCTGTTCTGGGCGGCAGAGTGATCGCTGTGCTGTGTGTGTTCAGCTGTGGGACATCAGGAAGAAGGCGTCTGTCCACACTTTCCAAAACACCTATCAGGTGCTGGCCGTCACCTTCAATGACACCAGCGATCAGATCATCTCCGGCGGCATCGATAATGACATTAAGGTAGGCGGCCGTTGCCTGTTCCTGTGAAAGCCGAGAACGGCTTGGCAGCCGTTTTGAATCTTGCTTGAATCTGCGTTCATCAGGTGTGGGACCTGCGACAGAATAAGCTGATCTACACCATGCAAGGACACGGAGACTCGCTGACGGGCCTGAGCCTCAGCTCCGAGGGCTCCTACCTTCTCTCCAACTCCATGGACAACACAGGTGAGCTTCCCGCTCGCAGCTCAGCCGTGCGGCTTCTCCAAACAGACCGCTGCCTTCTCCAGCGGTGACGGCCCCACCCATTCGTGTCACCCCCTTGCAGTGCGAGTCTGGGACGTTCGCCCCTTCGCCCCCAAAGAGAGATGCGTGAAGATCTTCCAGGGAAACGTCCACAATTTTGAAAAGGTACCCTGTCCTGAGAACAGGCTGAGTGAGCACAGGTCATGGAGCAGATCGCTCGCATAGCGGGACCAACACAGCCAAGCCTGCTTGTTCAGCCACAGACTGACTATCCACAAACACCTTCATATGAAGTGTGGCATGCTGGGCATTTCCATGATTTAAAAATGAGCAGAAGCCATTTACTGCCAATCCAATGCACAAGTTAGTCCTGCCCCAGATGTTGGTTTGTGAAAACCTCTGCTTGTGAGGTCCGCGTAAACCATATAATCGTGGCCTGTTTCCCTGACAGAACCTTCTGAGGTGCTCCTGGTCAGCGGACGGAAGCAAGATAGCATCAGGCTCTGCTGACAGGTGAGGGAGGCAGCTGCGATGCATGGCACCCCCGTCAGGACATGACCCCCCCCGGCGCGATGCAGAGCAAGTGCTCCTGCTTCACCAGCGTGGCTCTGACAGTGGGGGGGGGGTTGTCGTTTCAGGTTTGTGTACGTGTGGGATACCACCTCCAGGAGGATCCTGTACAAGCTGCCTGGTCATGCTGGCTCTGTCAATGAGGTCGCCTTCCACCCCACGGAACCCATCGGTGAGACCCGTCATTTTTAGTGACGCACGTTCAATGGCTGCATGAGTTCATACATGCAGCAGCAGCGTGTGGCTGCACACTGTGGGCTGCTGATTAGCTCCTCTGAGGATCTGCTGTCACATGGTCACTGTCTCCAGCCGTTCAAATGCCCATGCAGGTGATTCTTAGCAGCATGCAGCCTAACGCTAACCACCTCCCATCTCGCTCCCCCTGCAGTGCTCTCCGGGTCAAGTGACAAGCGGCTCTACATGGGGGAGATCCAGTAGGGCCTCTTGTGGGGCCACGGTCTCGCTACACACTGCTGAGCCCCCCTCCGCCCCCGGATCGTCTCCATGGCCACTTGGGGTCACATAGAAGAAACTGATGAGGTGTTCAGGAGTTCAGCGCTGCCATTCTGGACGTCCTGCTGGACTTGGACACATACACACACACACATACACACACACAGGTTAATTAGCATTTTACTGATCTGGTCACACCTCAGTGACATTGGCAGTAGTTTGAGTGTGGCCGGAAGCCTTGAGACCAGAAGCCAAGGTGCTCCTGTACATTTCGGGATCTTTTTTATATTTACTGAATGCTGTTAAGTTTGATGTACTTTGTAGATTTCCACGGAGCTGCTGGTTTTTAATTGCTCCAAATAAATCCACTGGATTCAGTGTGTCTATCTATGCGTGTCCTATTTCCCTGCTGTAATAATCACCATTCTGTGCCGCTTCTCCGCGTGTAGCCATTATGAAAATGAACAGGCTATTCCTTTCCTTGGTCGTCAATAAAATGAACTCTTAGAGAACCGCGGCAGTTCTGTCCGGGGTTTTTAATTACAATAACAAAGAATAATCTTTATTTTAAGTGGCTCCTACGCCTGTGAGATGGCGTGCCTGCAGCAGCCATTTAACCCCGCGCTGATGCTTCCATCACTGCCTCGTGAAGCCGCCGTGTCGCACCGCCGATCTCCGAGCCCCATCCTTGGCGGTGGCCAGCCTCGCTCAGCTCCCTTTGTGTCTCCGAGTGCAGCGCCTCTCGCCCCGCCGCTAGAAGCCCGCACAGGCTGCAGAATTCATTATATCACAAATGAGGGCTTCACCCCCCCCCGATTCCTTCCTGCGCCCCCTCTTTCCCCCCCTCCCGCTGTACTGGCGCTGAGCTTCACAAAGCCCCTGAAACAGCGTGGGCTTGCCGTACATTTCTGTTAAATAAATAGCCATCGCCTTCGCCCTGTTTACATAGATGATCCTCCTTCCTACGCGCCTCGCTTCGGAACCGGGAATCGCCGCGAACCGTGAGTTACAATGGATCGCTTTGTGTCAATTGTTCCAAGCTCGCATCTTGCATCTATCGGGTTAATTTTTTTCCTCTCTCGCTGCGAAGCCCTACCCCTTTTACTCGGTGTGATATAATGTCATATGATGCTCATATCTTTCTCCTTTCTTTACCTAAACATTTCCCCACTTGTGGTTTGCTTTCTGGTCCCTTTCTGTGCGCCGTGTGACCGAAGGTGTGGCATCGCAAGGAGTTCGAGTCACTGCCGGCGACCCGTCGCTGGCAGAACCGGGGACGCCGACGTTGGAGCGGGAGCACATCCACCGCAACACTTAAATCGGTTCTGCCAGTACACGCTCGGAAACCGGCATGACGGTGCAATGACTAAACAGCTCAGGCGAAAAATTCATGGTGGTATAATCAGTGTCGGCTTGTACTGAGTCGCAGAGGGTGTAATGAGGGGGGCAGCAGCGGGCACGGCGGAGTGCTGATCGGCGGCGGGCTCAGCCGAAGCGGACCAGTGATCATCGCTGTCCACTCTCCTCCACGGGACCTGACAGCAAGATTTCATTTCATCCCGTAGCTTCCACGGCCATAAGCCGTGTCTTGGCCGAGGAAAAATGGGGAAGTGTACCGGGAGGTGCACGCTGGTGGTCATCTGTTCTTTCCAACTGGTAAGTGTGTTGCAGGTTTTTTTTGCCTGGCTTCTTTAGGCTGCTTAACGTGTCCATTAACTCTACATTAGGACGAATCCATTTATGAACGGGGTGTGTAATTCCATATTTGTGGCTGTAAATGTTTGTGAAAGCAGGGAGGCGTCTCCTTTAATTGCCATATAAGTGCTTTTAATACGAGCATTTGACGGGCCAAAAAGTGTTTTAACTGATTGTTTTTTTATCACATTGTGGACTTGTTTGGAAAACCAGAAAACACCAATTAATGTTATTGATCAACAGCACGCGGGACCCTATTGGTGCTTATTTTCATGTTTAAATGTATTTTCAAACGTATTATAATCGTAGTGTTTATGCTCATTAATTGCATTGATTTTCAGCTCTAATGCTCTGCTTCTTTCAGTCCTGTATACGTCGCTGCTTTGTCACGCTGGCCTGAAAGTGTTACTCCTCTCGGCCCCCAAAGTTGCCCGGTTGCGCCCCGCCGTTGGCGGGGATTGCAGGCCACGCTGCACACTCGCTCGCGACATCTGCTTCCCTCTTCCTCGCAGCCCCCTGCCCTCCCCTGCTCACGCCATGTGTTCGCTGGCTTGCAGTCTGGCCCGGCTGCCCAGAGGCATCCACACAGGCGCTCCACAGCCATGATCCGTCTTTGTCCGATCATCTGCTCATATGTGTAACATATTGGTGGAAACACATGGCTTCGTGTCTATGGCGGAGATGAGAGTTCCTGGCCCCAGGCAAACTTTGGCAGATTTTGTTGCTGCCTCTTCGGTCTGATGTATCTTACATCTCAGGGTGAATTCCGCTGTCTGTAGTGACTATACGATATGGTGGCTGACAGTATGTGTATAATACAGTGTAAACGCGTGCAGGACAGGCGTGCGTATGCATGTGACTGTACTACAACAGATGAATATTGTCTGTAGATGTTGTGCGTTTTTTTAATTATGTGTGTCTACAATATCATTAGTGTCTGAGCATATGTTGTTTCCAAGAATTAATGAGTTTGTAGGTGTGTGTGTGTGGGTGTGAAATTAGTAATAATTGGCGGTAGGTATTGGTGTGTGTGTGTGTGTGTGTGTAATCTGAGAGGTGAGTGGAGCGTAAAGGTGCCTGTGTGTAACTTGGGCAGCGAGTGACTGAGATGCTGAGTGCGTCTGACAGCGTGTGCTCTGTATTCTGAGGGCTGACTGACAGGATGTTTATGCAACATTAGTGTTGTATTTGGTGACTGTGTGTGTGTGCGTGTGTGTGAGCAGAGGGTGTACGCACCGGCCCAGGGCGCCCCCCTCTCCCTACCATCACGGCTTGGGGCTGGGGCTCCAGGCAGTTTCCATGGAAACAACTGCAGCAGACTGCTGTGGGAATGCTGGAGTATGTGTGTCTGTGGTAACTGTGTTTGTGTGTCTGTGTAGTCCTGTGTGTGTGTGTGTGTGTGTGTGGGTTGGGGGGGGGGCACGGGAGCATGCCTGCAGGGAAAAATGCCTGGTGCTCCTGATGGAAGAAAGTGGGTGTGTGTGCGTGCAATGATGGCGGGATGGGGAACCTAATAAGAGAACAGGCCACACTCTCTGCTCCTGCTTTATTCTCAGCACCTTTCCCCAGCTTTACCCCTCATTCCTCTTCCCCCCGGCGTTACCCATCGCTCTTCTTCCTCTTTTCCTCAGCGTTACCCATCACTCCTCTTCCTCTTCCCCCCAGTGTTACCAATTGCTCCTCTTCCTCTTTTCTAGTTCAGTTCACTGGCACTAGGCAGACAGCTGTGGTTTTTGCATACTGGTGACATAGTGACTATTTTACCTTTTTCCCAGGCTTCCATTTACACATTCGATGGCTTAGTGGGTTTGCACTGTGGTGGGAGACCTACAGGGTTATGGGTTTGATTCTTAGCGCAAACCGTCTCTGGGTGGAATTTGGAGCTTTTTGTGGGTTTCTTTCAATATTTCCAACAACATAAGCATATATTCCATGGTGTGAAGGTCCACAGTGATGGTACAGGATGTTCAGAATGTCCTCTGACTTGGTCTCTAGACCCACTGCAACTTTGCATTGAATTATGGAAAATTGGTGGATGTATTGGAATTTGCAGTGTCGGTTTTTTGAACCATAAGAATTTGTTTTCCATTTGTGGATTTGGCTGTTTTTCCTGTACTTGTTTACTTCTATCCTGGTAGCAGTTTCTGCTGAAAATCTGTGGTTTTTGCTCAGTTGTGTAGTCATGCCTTCTGGCTCGGTTATGTGAATTGTGGGGGGGGGCTGTCTCATGTGTGCCACAGGTCGCTGCTTTGGAGAGGCAGGTGTTTGACTTTTTGGGGTACCAGTGGGCACCCATCCTGGCCAATTTCCTGCACATCATGGCTGTCATCTTGGGCATCTTTGGCACCGTGCAGTTTCGCTCTCGCTACCTCATTCTGGTGCGTATTCTTGGTATATATGTCCTTTCTGTCCTTGGTAACCCCGCAACCAACATTTGGTGAATTCCCAATGTGAAAGATGGAGGAGTGTGTGTGTGTGTGTGTGTGTGTGTGTGTGTGTGTGTGTATGAGGTAGATCGATATGGGTTTTCCAGTGACAAAGGCCGATTTAAAAATAAATAAATAAATAAATAAAAATTGTTGGGGGGAGATGTTGGCTGATATCAGGCCGTTTAAAAAAATTTTTAAGTAGAAAAATAACAAATGAGTAATACAACTGCTTAACTTCAAATGAAATATATTTTTAACATTAATAACATACAAACCATTAATAACATAATAAACACAAACACTGCAGCTGTAACATTAATTACACTTTAACGAAGGGCATGAAGCATTTTAAAAGTAATAGGGAAAAAAAAACGATGGTTTTGCCTTTGTGATATTCATCAAGTGAAACTGAAATATGCGGCACGAATTTAGAACTCCTACCTCTGGCAGTCACGCAGGTTCACTGCTGTAGCTGCTGATTAACCACGCTACAACACTGACGCAGTGAGTGCTCTGCGTGGCTGCGCGTCAGTCACGCAGCCGCACGCAGCCGCGCGGCCATGTGCAGTCATCACCGTTTCAGCCGTGTAGTCTGATTAATCGCTTGCTGCCGATGTTTTTTTTTTCTGCCCGATTGATCGTTCGACCTCTAATATATAATGACTGGGGAAAAGAGAGAATTATGTATATAATATGTAAAGAGTTGGCGTGACATGGTGTTTCTTTGTGTGCGTATCCCACAGTATGCAGTGTGGCTGGTCCTCTGGGTCGGCTGGAACTCTTTCATCATTTGCTTCTACCTGGAGGTAGGACACTTGTCCCAGGTGAGTTTTTCACCTTGCTTTTTAACTTGCATTCAAAACAGTCTTAAAGCGATGCTTGCCTGTGCCATGACAACACTGTGCCACTGTAGCACAGACAGGGTCTGGCCAGTTTTAATCCTGTAATGTGATAACATTGACACTGTAATATATCCACCTCTTTGGTCTGTGCTGCTGTGATATTACCCATTTGTGGCCTCCCAAATGTTCTGTCCAGGACAGGGACTTCCTCATGACATTTAACACATCCCTGCACCGGTCCTGGTGGATGGAAAATGGGCCAGGCTGCTTGGTCACCCTGGTGCCCAACTCTCCCCTAGCCCCAGATGACCACCATGTCATCACCGTCTCCGGCTGCCTGCTAGACTACCAGTACATCGAGGTGGTCAGCTCCGCCCTGCAGGTCTTCTTGGCAGTGAGTAGAACCAGCCTAGTGAAGCTCCTCCCCCTAAGTCACGTGAGAAGGTTGTGATGCCGTTTTCTCGTTTTCCCGTAGCTCTTCGGATTTGTCTATGCCTGTTACGTCAGCAAGGTGTTCCTGGAAGATGAGGACAGCTGTGAGTGCTTCTTTCTGAGGGGAAAAGGGGGTGATGTCATTTGGAATTGAGTGATGGGACCTGGTTGCTGATGATGATGTCATACTGCAGTTTGCCGGCAGTTTTCGGTCATCCTTGGTGACATTCCTCTTTCCTTCCTGCTGCAGTTGACTTCATTGGCGGTTTTGACTCGTATGGCTACCAGCCACCACAGAAGGCGTCGCATCTCCAACTGCAGCCCCTGTACACGTCAGTACCCCCCCACGTCTCCGTTTACCAGCGTCCCAAACGGTTCTCTGTAGCAGTATTGTATAAGGAAAACAGAATCCCTGCAAGTCAGTACAAGCTAATCGAAGCTAATCAAAACGTTAGCTTCGATAACCACTAATCAGCTGAAACTCCAAAGTTTAATTCAATAACACTAATATGAAAAACCACTAAGAAATTTAGCAGAAGCTAACTCTAACTGCTAACCCTAATTCTTATTATATGAATGGGTGTGGCTTTTGGCTCTGAAACCCTTAAAAACATACCTAGAGAGCTAAAATTTTAACCCATTCAACACTGAAGTCCCATCTATCGTACTAGAGTGATTACTGGGGGTATTTAGGACTTACCCAGTTGGGTATTGTAGAACTCTGCAGAATCTCTGACATAAATCTGCATTGAAGATTTCTTTCTAGGATATTCCGTTTGCAGGATATAAGCGTTTTTGTCAGAGAAGCCCTATTTCGCAACTGGCCCGTGCTGACATTTTGCCCTCAGTGAAGCCGTTTGAGGATTACAAACATGGCGGTGTTTAACCGGAACTAGGGTGGAGGGTCTCAGCTATTTTTTGGTCTATAGCTCTGTCAGAAATCTGACAAGTTATCCAGCTAAGCAAGAAATCCAGCTTCCTGATACAGGCCCCTGTTCTCTGCTTAATTCAGGGTACCCCAGTTTAAATGGACTTTATCTTTGTTCATTTACGTTTAGCCCAGATCTCCTTAAAGCTGACAAGTCATCGACCCAATCACTTCTTGTGTTTACATGTAGTCGGCCAACAGCATGCCAGACAGACTGTTGCAGACATGCTCACAACAGACAGGAACAAATATGTATGATTTTAGGGTTTACAAATGCTTTTGACCATTAAATTTTATTCACTTAACCTGCCAAAATGTTAGCGGCTTTTCAGTTAGCAGAACTAAATTTAGCGGGAGCTAGTTGGTCCGCTAATGGTCTCCAATGTTAGCGGGAACACTGATCCGCTAACAAAAACGTTAGCTTCGCTAATTAGCAATTAGTGCATTAGTGGAACCCTGCCCACCACCGAGTCAGTATTACTATAATTAAAATCTGGAGGAGCCATACAGATGAAGCAGTAAACAAGCTCCTGGTTCCTGTGGTCCTTCAACGTCCCACGGGACCTTCTAACTGTGTAAATCGGCCGAAATCAAACCAGGCCAGGCTCCAGGATGTGGCCTAAAAGTCATGGCGTGATGAATTGCCTGATAAAGGCCAAACACCTCTTCTTATTTTAGATGTGGTTAGTTCAAGACAGGTCAGAAGAAGTCAGCGTGGACCATCTTCCGAATACTTCATTGCAAAAAGCGACACTTCCTCACCTGACATGCTTCAGTCACGCCAGTGTCATGCAGCCTTGTGCTACTTCTTTCTGCCCTTTAATACTTTCCTCAGATTTGCTAGCTGTTGGAGAGCAACGCTAATGAGGGACACAGCAGTCTTATAGATCAGGAAGTGCCAGGGGGGGTCATCGGGGGCGGGGGGGGCGAGCTCCCTCTCCACCTCCACTCTAATCGCTTTACTGCTATATTTGGATATAGTAACTAACATCACTTTGTAGTTTAATTTGAAATAGTGCTAATTAAAATGTTAATTAAAATATTATCAAAAGCCTGCATCACCTGATTCAGTATTGTGTATCCCTGATATAGAACTTTGTTTTAAATTGCTTTTCTTTCTGCTGAATGTGCTTATAAAATATGTTTAAAGGTGTCAGTTTGGTGAGAAATGTCATGTTCAAGCTCCTTATCTAAAGACAGATTCTCTATCTCTCCGCTCCCCCCCCCCCTTCCCAGCGCAGGGTAGGCGAGGTCAGCAGCCCAAAGGGAGGAAAGAGGAGGATCACTGATGATCAAGAGGCTTCTGTCTGAGGCGGAGCACAGCATGGTCTTCGGAAAGTTGTCTTTTGTAGAGATGTCTTCATTTCTGTATAGCCTCTGATTCAAACTGTGGGGTGCGGAGAAAAAAAAAAAACTGTCTCAAAGAGCCCCCTGCTGGCAGGTGCGACTAACTGCAGTATTGACTTACTGACTGGACAGTGCATATGGCCGGTGACCAAACCAAGAACCAAAATGGGCCCAGTCACCCTTCTTTAACTGTGAAGATGTGTGCACTTTTGGTATTTTTTCCTCACTTTGTGGTCGAGGTTGAGTGTGGGGCCGAGGGGCAGTTGGCAGGGGCGTCGTGCACCGTGGGCCGGGCTTGCCGTAGCGTAGCCCCTCCCCCTCTGAAAGTGCAGCAGCTTTCCTGTCCCCTGTGCGGTTTTTAAAAAATCTGAAATGTGGGGATGGAGTTTGAAATGATTCGGTTCGTTCCACACTAAGGATCGGGAACCTCACTGCATAGATTTGCCCCTAATTGTCCCGTGAGCATATCCAGTGGCATCCAGAAGATGCTGACTGTGATGGTTACAGTGGCTGAACAGGAGAGCTCAGTCTGACCACCTCAGACGCAACTGTGTGGCCTGCAAATATCAGCGATGGCCAGAGGGGGGGGCCGAGAAGCTGGCTGAGAGGCGTCCCCAGTGCCTCCCCGCCAGTCCAAGGGCCCTGCCTCTATTCCAGATGGCGGCGGTTGCCCTGCGTGGGCCACCCACCCGCGCCAGGATGGTCCTGCGGAGTGTCTGTGCAGGTGGGCCTGTGACATGGTGGGCAACTGGCCATTACCCCACCAATCAGGCGCTGACATTCAACTTGCACCCATCATCCCGCCTGCACATGCTCAGTGACCTCTCCGTCCACTTTATATAAACTAGATTGGTGAATAGTGTTTCTAAGGAAAATTATGTAGGTTTTGTGTGCATGTAAATATTAACCTGCCCTATTTGCCCCACCCCCACTAATCTCCAAAAATGTCTTGCCCCCTTTCTGTTGTCAGAATGCCTCTTGGCCTCATTCCACACCTCTCTCTCTTCCCAGCAGCTCCCTTTCTCACTATATTTCCATCTGTCCTGTTAACACAGAATTCCTTCACTTTGTGGCTCTGATATTTTCTCACTTTTCCCCCTCCCAGAGGCTGGCGGGGAGGTGCACTGGGGGCCTCTGTCACACGCAGACTCCCTTCTGTCTCTCACATTAACCTGCAGTGCATCTCCCTCGTTCATGTGTCACAGCTGCTGGTTTGTGTGTGCGAGTGTGTGTGAGTGTGTGTGTGCATACTCATTTTTAACAAGGTGTCAAAGGACACAACCCTTATATACTACTTATGGCGGGGGTGGGGGGGTTCGGTTTTTGGGAAATAAACAGATTTGTTTTTAGATGCCGTCTGCTTGTGTCATCGTGTGGTGGTTCATTGTTGTCCATTTGCACAGTTGTTCTCCTGGGCTCCTTGTTTAACTTTTAAGTGACACTGATTCCTGATTGTGACCTTAAACATTTTGTGACACAACAGGCAATGCTCTCTGTATATACTTTTGCACACACACGCACATACATAAGGAATGAAAATCAGCGTCGCCAAGCAGGTGTCCCAGGATGTAATGTTCAGTAGGACCCTCCTGACGACCCCGAGACCTCAATGACTAAAGAGCGGCTTTTGCATCTCCCATTCGAGCCACTGCTACAATCTGTCAGTGCACCTTCCAAACGCTTCTAGGGCACTTGGAGAAGGATGTAGATATAAATGAAAAGGAGGTCTCACAGAACCTAACTAGGATTTCGGGGTTAAAACTAAAATGAGGAAAGCTACAGGGACAAATTAATTTCTGAAATTGTTTTGCTACCAGACTAAACTTAACTGCAGTGGCTTGTTTGTGAAACAGTGATATAACAAAATAGAATTCTGCTCCATTCCGTAGCAAAAATAGCTCGACACAAATCGCTAGCATCAAACCACGAGTATAAATGATTTTATGGTGAGGGGGATTAGCGAATAACGACACATACCACTACATTAATATTTGCTTCTCCTGACATGCATGTTGAGTGAACTTGTAAAACTACTTAGCCTTCATGCTTGCTGTCTCTTCAACAATGAATCCAAGCATAATTTGCCTGACCAGACCAATCAGCGTTATGGAGTATTACAACAATACGAATCAGCGTAAGCTACGATGAACTATGACAAAAAAGTGTGTTGCATGGCAAAACACGGAACAGCAACGAAGTGGCCTTACATGTACCTTCGGTAAGGTAAAAGCTTTGAATGAGCGCTCGGCGCGTACAACAAAGGGCTGGCGCGACACTCCCCTCTTGGCGCAGTGAGGCGCACATTCGGCCCTGCCTTCCCATCATGCAGCGCGCCCGCCTGCCCCCACCGAGTCGCCATGTTGTCGGAGTGAAAGCTAGGGAGTCGGAGAGTTCTGGGGCTGAAATCCGTTACCATCCACCCACTCCGCCTGTAAGTAAACGGGTCGACTGGAGCCGGGCGTCCGCTAAAAACCTCATTTCGTAAAACGCCGCGTGCATTTGATAGATTCTCCGGGTTTACGGGCATTTTTAAGATCATTTCCAACCTGTGTTGCTCCCCCCCCCGATTTCTCCCGTCTCTTCCTTCTCTTGTATCTGTCTTCCTGTCCTGAATGCTTGGGCCTCTATTGTTGTCGTTACCTACATGCAGACCGGTAGGACCCCCAGAGCCAGGGAACAGGTTGAGTTTGCACAGATATTCGTAATGTCTTTTTCCGAAACGCGGTGTCTCGCGACGGTAGTGTTGTGTGCACCGGTTTGATCTGTTCCTCTTTGGCTGAGCGAAGGCCATGTATTGTCGCCGGAGACGGGCATTTTGCCTGTGTTTGCTGCTGTTAGCCAGCAGCAGCAGCCCTAGTCGGCATATCTCTGGATCTCGCAGCTGAGCTCGCCCTCCGATCGGAGCGGCTTCGCCGCCTCTTGCCGCCGTCGTCTCCATTTGCCGATGTTTTGTTCATGTTGACAAGCAACTTCGGTTTGTTTACTAACGTTACCGATTCGGTGGGAGCGTCAGATGCACCGGGGCGGCGTGCAGCCCTTCGCCGCGAGGTGTTAATTAGTATTTTGATAATGATTAACCTCGTGCTGGCTAGTAATTCACGTTTCCGGGACGGTGCCTGTGCCGATCAGCATGGAAGTGGCGGACGAGTGACTGTCGAGTTCCGGGTGTTTCTGGGTTATGTGCAAATGGAATAACAAAGAGCAGGCTTTTGCGCGCCATACTTTCTCTTTATATATATTTATATCGGGATAGTTGTTGGTGCAGGGGGGGTTCTCGATCATGTCGATGACCGAGTTGTCAGTAGGGACCGACATGTTCCCTGTTTCTGAAATGTATATCTATTTAAGGTAACAATGTGATTCACTTTCTGTAGGATAATGGGTCCCCAGTCGAGGTAAACCTGTATGCATGAATGTCCAGTAGCCTGGAGATTTTATATAATGTACCTTTTTTCGAAAGGTGACTTCCTGCACTATTGTAATTGTGCTGCACACAGAGAATGGTTCACAATAACATTTTCCAAACTAGCTTCCTGTATATTCAAGCTCCGGTCTCTAGGTGGCACCTCAGTAGGTCTTCGATCTTGCTGTGCTTGGCTCCTCACTAGATTGCACTCCTAGGTATTCCCCAAACCCAGCTGCCAGCCTCCGCTGTGCCAGCCTCCCCAGCCCAAAGTGTCCTCCCCCTAACCTGCAGATTGCCACCAATGATGTGGATCCACCTAACGCTGCGAATTACACAAGTTCAAAGGCATTCGTCCTGTGTGACTATGACCAGGGGCTGTGGGTGGGACTGATGGAACAATTTGAAACTGAATCTTCACAAGCAGGAAAAGGGGAAACTCCAGCATTGCTGTGCAGTGTGGAAAAAAGGAATGAAAAAGTTATTTAAAAAAAAAAATGAATATCGCATTAAAATTATGACTGCCTGACTGATCTTTGTTATTCTTATAGAGTGATTTTAATGCATTATTTTTTAATCTGCAGTTGTGCAGAGGATGGAGTGTCTGTATATATCACTGGCTGTTTCCACATTTTCCCAGTTTTGATACACTAGCTTATTACAGACCTCACTTGGGAGAAATTATTCAGTGAACTATACCAGGTAGCAATCTTTCACATAGCATTGAGCCACAGTGCGCAGTCCCTGTGGCCTGAGGGGGCGCGAGTAAAAATGCTGTTCGTTTGTTCAAGGCCTCGACACAGTGACCCCCACGGTCACAGTAAATTTAGTTTCAGACACTACTGTTTAAAAAGAGCTTACTTAAGTAATAAGTTCATCCAGAGTTTGACATCAGGCATCCTTGATGTTGAACATCGAGTCGGTGTCCAGAGTGAAAAGCAGAGGCATTTTTTCTGCATCCTTAATATAGTATGAGAATGTAAGTGTCCTCTGGAACTGGGTCAAAACCCCTTTTTGCTTTTTTTTTTATTTTTTTTTTTTATAAATGTCTTTTGATAGAACAGAGGTTTGTGTCAGGCTGTAAATTGCTGCCATCTGGATGAAACATTTCTCTGAATTGCTTTTGGCTCTTGCATTTGTCAGTGCCATCAGGCCCAGTTCTGAAGAGTGACGTGCGTGAATGTCACGTTTCACATGAACCTCGTACCGAATATGCCGTTATATTTCAGAAGAAAACAGAACGTGCCACATGATACCCATTCCTCAGTCTGAGAGATTCGGTCGTCCTGCTGTGAGAGTGTCTGTGTGGTCCTCGCTGTCCTGGTCGGACTATATATATATAATATATACACACACACACACACACACACACACACACATACACATACACGCTCGGCTTGCTACGAAGCTGTTCCCCTACCTGTCACTGCAGTATCTCTCACCAAACTTGCCAGGTCACTTCCATTCGCACTTTTCTTTTTCTCCCAAACAGATTCCTAAAACTTGCTGTCTTGTTAATTACTATTTTCCCCCCTATCTCTGTTGGCACATTGAAATTTGTGAAACTTATGTTATGACCCAGAACTTCCCGGACAATGAGGAAGAGGGAAACGAAACAGGCAGGCTGAATAAATGCTGATTAAATAAAGATCTTGTGCAGAACGTGAGCGTGATGACACGACTAGTAAGGGTCAGAATTTTAAAGCGATACTTAGTTTGGCGCGTGGTCGGAAGGGTGTGGGTCGCTGCGTTCAGCTGCTGGTCTGTGTGGCCGTCGCCAGCTCGCTCTGGGATTTCTGCGTGTCTGCTGCCCAGTTGAATCCTGGCCTGTGATCCTTTATTTTCTTTCCCGCTTTGACAGTTATGTAATTTTCAAGAAAAGAAAGGGGATTATAGGAACAAACTTTAAGTGTGCATGTAATATCTTTTGCTCTGTTTTGCAAACAGTTTACCAAAGTCCGCTCTGTTTCTCAGGAATTCTTAATCCAGTATATAGTAGCTTTTAGCCCAAATGAACCGCAGTCACAGTAATTTGTTTGAGGGGCACGGATAGACCCAGAAGGATTTGTAGTATTATTTTTTTTTATTGACATCAGTGCAGAAGGTGTTGCTAGAAACAGATGTGCTTCACACGCCTGTGTTTTATCATTGTTCAGGCTGTTTGATCTGCAGCCTGTTTGTTCAGCTCTATAGAAATTCATTGAGGGCTCTCATCTGCAAGGCACATTAATTCCTGTATCTGTAACGTCCGTCCCCCCCATTCAGGAGGGTAATAGTGAAGCACTTGGATTTGTGCTGTAGGTATGTATTGAAAGCCACTCGCAGAGCCAGTCAGTGACAGGCATCGAATGTTCCTCGGGGGCGCTCCATGTCACCGGCAGTTGACGTTCTCCTGAAAGCTTGCTGTGACTTCCTCTTTGTGGCAACAAAGTGTCACTCTCACATGTATATTAATTTAGATGGTATGTTCCGTTTAGATTTGGAATACTTGGTATATTCCGTTTGCCCCATTCTGTCTTTTCGTGTTTGTTTCTGGATGAAGTTGTTGCTTTTTCCGGCAGATACTCAGCTTCACTTTATTCCCTTATCTCCCTGCTCTGTCCCGTGACGCCCTGCTATTTGACTGCTTTTCTGTGATGTTATTCAGGCGCTTTAACAGCATTTGTAGGTGATGATGACTTTCGGGTCTGCCGGCACTTTGGTGTCCGCGGGCGAGCCGCCATTCTGTATGCTGTTTGACGCTGGCAACCCCTGTGCTCGCCTTCACCTGGCAAACTGCCTCATCTCGCCTGTTGGCTTTGCTCCTCTGCTGTAAATTTCAAGACATGAGTTACAGATTGAAGCCGGCAGTGTTTTTTTTACGAAGTTAAGGCCTGCAGAGCCATTGGATCTCCGCTGTCCCGGCTTTAGAAGGTCTGCACTCCTCGATCGCTTGCTCAGACTTGTGCCGTATGGGTGACGTGTGTTTGTCTGGTCCGCACTAACCAGTCCCTAGAGGGCGCCCTTGAGCTTTGGGATATAAATTAATTGAAACACTCTTATTATTTGGTGGGAAATTATTCTTTGTCAGATAATACTGCAAGCCACGCTAGGCCTGTTTCGACTTGGTGCGGTGGTGGCCTGAGTCTGAGTGGCTGTGATGCAGGTGGGTCAGGCTTTGCACGGAAGCTGGCTCAGACGCAGCTTTCGCTGAGAGATCAAGGCCGTGCGCCTGGCACAGTCTCCCCCTGAGCACAGGCACACCGGCGCCCTTTCTAGGCCCTTCTGCCATCGCTTGCATGTTTTGGCTCTCGGTGCCTCGCGCATCCTGTGCTTTTCAATAGCAAACGGCAGTTTGCAGAGAGCAGTAAATGGTGTCTATCAGCATCCACTGGCCGGTGGCTAATTTACCTGGGTGTTGCCGGTGTTTATGATCTTTGTGTGCTGTTTTATCCTTTTGTGTTGTGCCCTCTCTTCAGTGTTCACGGTCGCTGGTGAAACCGCAAAATCGCTGCCATGCTTCCTGAAGGGGGCTGTCCGTGGCAAAGTTTTCAGTTATGGTGGGGCTACAAACATTCCTGCCCTTAAACTGAAGCTGGGGGTGCACAGACACTGCCCTACTGTCACAGGGACGGTCTTTAAAGAGTCGATAAACAATGACCCCAAGTTAAGCCAAAGAATCCATTAAGCATTATGTTTCTGCCTTATGTTGGCCTTCCCAGCAACGACCAGCTTAATAGGGAATCTGGATGTATTACACATACTGGAGTTCAAACTGGTAATAGCTTCATGTCCCGCAGTAATTATCAGTACACTCGGGGTAGTGTTTTAAAATGCTGATATGCAGCCCAGTTAAATGTTAGTAGACAAAACTGTTGCTTTATAGTATGAGTTTTGGAACTGAGTGGATGGTAGTTTAAAGATTTGGATCATAAACCTCTGTTTGTTATTCTGTTGGGACAGCAGGAGTTCAGACTACAAAAGAATGACCAGGGAACGGATATGAAGGGACCGTCTTACACTGCAGATAGTCTGTGCTTTTTTTTTAAATGATGCAATGATCCAAGTGTGGACAACTCGCTGCCCATCTGCTTACCGGTAACTAATCAAACAATTGTAAATGGGACCAGTGTTGCCTGCTGTTTGAGACATTTCCCAGTTACAGCCTGCTAACTTGATTGCTGACAGAACTTAGAGCAGCTGAAATGCTTGATCACATTTCACTGAGGTGGAAAATGTGCGACGTCTGTGCGAGTGCGCCGTGAAACTGCAAGGCGGGTAGTGTATTCGGTGCTGATTGTGAGCCGTTGTGTCGCCGTCATGCAGTTGTTGTCCTGGGCTCTGACCCGTCTCCCGTCCTGCTGTCAGGCAGCGGTGACTGATGTGTGTCCTGCGGCGATGTCGCCTCTCGCGTTGACATGCTGCGGTTTGTTGGGAAAGCTGATAATTGCTCCTCTGGCTGTCAGAAGAGGCGTCATTCGGTCAGTGAGGCGTCCTGGGCCTTTGCTGCCTGACGGGGAGCCAATCATTTAGTGTCATTAAAGGCAGCTAAAATAAATGTAAAGGGTAACCCTTGTGCAAATATTAGTTGATATTAATTGTAATTTTATTTTTAAGATACAAAAACAATACCCCATCATGTATTCATTTTGCTAGTCGGTTGTTTAATGTAGCCTGAAATTTTCTCCTTTGTACTTGGAATGAAGAGTGACAATAAAACAAAACCCTTTGTAATTAATGTGATTTTAGGGAATTTATTGTTTTTAACCACATTTGATGTGTATTAAAGGTGAGTTTTAGAGATGCACTGATTGCAATTTTCTTGGCCATCCAGATTTCCAATTTTTTTGCAAGTGTGACTGTTTTTTGCCGATTATGATTTTTTCTTCTGTAATTGACAGCATGTACAAACAGATCAGCTTTTCTTCAATGCAAAATTATTTTCAAGATTAAAGAAATTTGTTAAAATTTACAGTGTCCCCCAGACTGCACTAAGTTACAGGATCTTCTCTCAAGTCTCATAATAAAGTGCCCTGTGACTGGAAAGAGGTACAAATAACATTTAACTGAAAATGAGCTGCTGTACATCCAGCTTTATCTGACATGTTTGACGTTACCAAACAAGAGCAGCTGCAACAGATTAAAATAACAAAACAAATATCAGTTACTTGCATCATTTCACAGTATGTTTAAATTCACCAGAGACCTTTTGTCTTACTCGACTCCCAGCACATAGGTTATTTGGAGGTTTGTAACCTTTTTTTTTATTATTATTCCTTTTCAACATTACCTATTATATGTTTAATAATCAGTTTAAAGTTCACCTCTGAAGTTTCACCATGTTTTCACAGTGGTTCCCTCACGGTTTACTTTGGCTTTACATGTATTACAAATGACAGTCTTTGTGTCGCCTTCCCTCACAGTGACGAGCTTCCTCACTAACGACGTGTTAGCGTGTGGCTGTAAACGTGCTCGCGGCCGTGAGGCAGCTTGTTGCAGGCGCGAAACGGCCTGGTCTGGTATCAGAAATACATGAGATTGAACGGCCGGTCTCCAGTCTGGCCTGCGCACGCTGAAAATCGTCCAATTCCAGTCCCTGGCCGGCCGGTCGATCTGTGCATCTCCAAGTGAGTTTTTACCTTTTTGGTTTGGCAGTAACAAACAGATCATTTTAATGACACCAAATGAGGACACTAGAATGAAAAGCCCATTCGGAATTGTGGCCAGATATTATTATTATGTTGCTATTATTATTATTATTATTATTATTATTATTATTATTATTAATAATAACAACAATAATAATAATATATCTTCTCACTCACCAGGTCCGTTAATGAGATTTATCAGGAAATATTGTATCCATTAAAATCAATAGTGAGTAAGTGCTCTTGTGGACTGGGAAAAAAAAAAAAAGCTTTACTAACAATGCGTCTGTTGATCTTTCCTCCAGTGAATGTTCTAGAACAGCCTTGCTTGGAGGCACGGCCGTGCGGTGCCTCCTATTCACACGTGCTGAGGAGCACAGGGTCCCCGAGGAATTGCATTCGCTGACGGTCCGGCACTTTGGTCACGGTTAAGATTCCGCACCCTAGGACGCGTGACGTCCGTTTGCTCCTGAAGCGTGTGCAGTTTGCCGCATGGGGCATCCACTTTTTCTTGTGTTAGGTTCGCCCTCCCAACGTTCCACTTCATCTTGAAATCTGTGTGCTTGGAGTGCAGCTCCTCTCTCTGACTTTCTCATTGTCCTTTACTGTCATGGTGGTATTTAGCAGCCGCCGTCTCTGATATTGCAGCTTTTTGGTATAAAAGCTGACGTCAGTGCCTCAAAATACCCGTGTGCCTCCGCGCCGCAGTCAGACTCGTATCTGTGTGATGAATAGCCCTGTGTTAATGGAACCCCCCCCGCTGCCGCCCCCCCCCCCCACCCCCAAAGGCACACCTGTGTCTTAGGTGTGTTTTTGCAGCAGAACTTCACGTAAGCTTCAATGAATGTTTGCACCTGTAAAAATGTTCAAACACACATCATGGAGTTTTACACACACACACACACGCACACACACATATACATATATAAAAAAAGTGCAATCCAGAGACGTTCCCTCGAGGGTGTGTGAGTGATGTGGGTATGAGCAGAATGTCACTTCTGTTATGTATAATTCCGCTCCTGCCGATGATCCATCCATTTCTGTTCTTGCATCTTCACATATGTTCCTCCCTGGTGCTCTGACTTTTTGATGCACGGATACCTTGAAGTGCTGTCATGGCAAAATGGGAATTTGGTGAGAAATGGAATGGTAGATAAGAGAGGACAAACTGCATGTGGGAAGCATTTTTAATTCAAAACTGAAAATCGCCAAAAAAAAAAAAAAAACAGAATTGTGGAAAAGTCTAAAGAGGAGCCGTGCCGGAAATCCAACCTCAATCAAAAACAGATCAGGTCCTGGCTTCCCGAAACCTTCATAACGCTGCGTCATTCATAAGTTCTACCTTAAGTTGTCTCTTAACGCCCCAATGTGTTTCCCGAAACGTTCTTAGTTAAGTGTGAGATATTCGTCTTTAAGGTTGGTCTGAGCCTCTCTTAGCTATCTCTTATCATGGACATGCAGACATATTGGTGCACGCTGGTGGGCTTTCCTGACAGGTCCCAGTTACCCGTCTCGGGTGCCTTCGGGCTTTTTGGTGACATATTAAGAGATGAATTTAATTTATTTTCAATTGTGTTGCTCCCTTTGAGTGTGAATTGTAATATAAGCAGGACAATTTGGATTGAATACACAGCATACGACACGAGAAATTGCATTGTGCAAATCACTGGATGATGACACCAGGTTGGGTGATGTTCCTGACACCAGGTTGGGTGATGTTCCTGACACCAGGTTGGGTGATGTTCCTGACACCAGGTCGGGTGATGTTCCTGACACCAGGTCGGGTGATGTTCCTGACACCAGGTCGGGTGATGTTCCTGACACCAGGTTGGGTGATGTTCCTGACAGCAGGGTGACATGAGGAGAGGTTCCTGCTCAGGTTTGCTCCCCTGCTTGGACTGGCTCGGCAGAGCAGTCTGCAGTATTTCTCGGATTTTGTGGAGACCAGAAGCCTGATAAGTTAAAGGTCATTTTGTTTTCATTGGAAATCCAATTTCCTGTCTTCTAAGTGTTGTGGATATTGGCAAAGTACAGAGTCGGATCCAGGGAACAGCACCAACGTAGCGCTTCGTGATTTACAAGGAGTGCAGTCTGTTTGGGACCAGCAGGGGATCCTCGGTGTGTTGATGTGTTCCTCCCATGTCCCCGTGTCCCGCAGGTGCTGGTGGAATGAGCGTAGCGTGCGTGTTGAAGAGAAAAGCAGTACTCTGGCAGGACTCCTTCAGCCCCCACCTCAGACAGCCCCCCCTTGAGACCGCATCTCCCAGCATGCCTGTGGTGCTCACAACTGGACCAGGAACCCCTGCAGCGGGCCAGCCCCCTCAGGCTCCACCCCCTAGCCAAGCCCTCCCCCCTGGCCAGGCCACTCCTGGGGGGCGTTCCCAGGATGATGCCATGGTTGATTACTTCTTCCAGCGGCAGCATGGAGAGCAGCCGGTCGTGGGCTACAATAACGGCAAGCATCGCTGGCCCACCGGAGACAGTATCCACGGTGACACCCAGGTAAGGCACGGTGTCTGCGTGCCCGTCGATCCCGGGTGCTTGCTTGCCTCCCCCCCCCCGCCTGGCCACCAGAGTGACAGGCATCCGTTTGCTCGGTCCCCAGGTGCGATCTATGGATGAGCTGAACCACGACTTTCAGGCCCTGGCACTGGAAGGTCGGGCCATGGGAGAGGTGAGTTCCCTGGGCTGGGAGATGTGTGGGTGTGCTGCTGCGGGTCGGGCCCTGGGGGAGGAGTGGGGATGAGCCGTGAGCCTAACTTCTGCTGTTGCTCCTCTGTGTAGCAGTTCCTGCCAGGAAAGAAGTTCTGGCCAGAGGACCCAAGTAAGGACGGACCAAAGGGGATTTTCCTTGACCAGTGGCGAGACAGCGCCTGGGGAACCTCTGGTAAGGGCTGCCCCCCCCCCCCCCCCCCCCCCCCCGCTGTGCCGCGGGGGCCCCCCCCCCCTCGCTCTAATTCCCCCCCCCCCACTTGCCTACCCCCCTCAGACCACTCGGTATCGCAGCCCATCATGGTGCAGCGGAGGCCTGGCCAGAGTTTCCACGGCGGTGGCGGTGAGGTGGGCTCCGTGCTGTCGCCGCGCTCCGAGAGCGGGGGCCTCGGCGTCAGCATGGTAGAATACGTGCTCAGTTCCTCCCCCGCGGACAAGATGGAGCCCTGCTTGAGCAAGAGAGCCTTTGTGAGTGTGTCTGCTCGTCCCTCGGGGCGCCTCTCGCTTTCGCGGGGTGCGCGTGTGCGTGTGCGCCGAGTCACAGCTCCCTCCCTCCCCGCAGGGACCCCGTGACCCTGAGGTGGATGATGGTGACAAGCGCGAGAAGAAGAGCAAGGCGGCCTTCGACCCGGACAAGCTGAAGGAGCTGAAGGAGGTGGAGGGAGACGGACTGGAGAGCACCGGCAGCCTGCCCATGCAGAATGGCATCGACGTCGACGTCAAGGAGCCTTTCAGGTGCCCCGCGAAGCCGCCGCCTCATACTCCCGCTGCTCCGCGACCCTCAGAATGGGGACGGGGGTAATTCCTCGCTTATCCTCTCCTTTCCCCTCCAGCCGCACCCCGGGGAACTGCCCCCCTCCAGGAGCAGAGGTGGACCTGCTGGGTGCAGGCCAAGGCCCCGTGGAGGGTCTCTCCCAGCTGGCAGGCAGCAATGGGCCCAAGCCCGTGGAGGACTTCACCGGTGTGGAGTCTCAGGGGGTCCCCATGGACCCCATGGAGTCCGTGGGCATGGAGCCACTGCAGTTTGAGTACCCTAGTAGTCAGATGCCCATCGACTCCTCCGGCGCCGCCGTGGGCCTGTTTGAGTACAATTCCCAACAGCAGGTAGGTTGACTTAGACTGTACTACAACTCCCAGCACCACCTGTGGCTGCAGCTCTAACCCTGAGAGAGGTATCTACCAGATTAAGCCAGGAAAAGCCTGGCTTTGTGCTTCCAGGTCGTCTTAACGACGTCTATGTATTTATTTATTTATTTTAAATTGTTCGGTCTTTACGATACGGTGTTCACATTTATTCCACGGATCATTTCAAACTTCCAGTTTAGCACGAAGCTGCTATCCTCTCGTTGGAAGTGTAACGTCATGATTTAAGCTTGCGTTTCGTAGTCTCTGTTGAGAGTTAAAGCTAAAATGAAGCCCCCCCCCCCCGGCCTGCCTGCCCACCTCAGCTGTTCCAGAGACCAAACGCGCTGGCTGTGCAGCAGCAGCAGTATGCCCTGGCCGCCGCCCAGCAGCCTCACATCGGTACGTGTCCCCCCCGCCCCATGTGTGCCCCCCTGTCTCAGAGACCTGTGACCCCAAAACCCTCCACCCTCCCCAGGTCTTGCGCCAGCTGCCTTCGTGCCGAATCCTTACATCATCAGTGCTGCCCCGCCTGGCACTGACCCCTACACCGCCGGCCTGGCGGCAGCTGCCACCCTGGGTAAGTATGGAGGCGAGTCTGCCTG